GGGGGGGGGGGGGGGGGGGGGGGGGGGGGGGGGGGGGGGGGACCTGCTGTGCAGTATTGTGGGCCACGACTTGAAAGCGATGTTTTATTCCAAGCGTCCCTCTGGCATCCTTCATGGCGCGCCTGTTTTCTCCCGTACGGGCGCACAGCAGCTCCAGCTGTCCCTCCCTCACAGGCCTCCCCTCCTCTGAGCCGAGCCGGCCTGACTGGACCCGGAACGGGCCCCAACAGGGCCGCAAGCAGGGGATTCTGTGTCCCGAGGAGGGATGCGGGCCTCCATTTTGGAGAAGCAATAGAAGAAAAAAAGGGAGCAACTAAGATATCGCGCAATAATGTGAGGAAGAGGAGCATCACAACGCCACTGTCATGACTTGTGTTTGAAAATGTCTGTTACAAATAATTAAACACCCCCACCCCCCCACCCCCACCCCACCAACCCACAAATCCTACCAACAGACAAGACAATATGTCAAATATAACACATGCTGACATATTTCAACACGTTCAGACCATAATATGATATATATAAGTCCCATGCCACAGTTTGAACTTAAAAAGCGGTTGACCAGACTAGGAAACCGGACATAAAAATTTCTTCTGCTTACCACTAGAAGGAGCTTGTATGCAATTATTTTCATGTCTCATGGTTTGAGAATGGCTGGCCCTGATTGCTCCTGTTGAATAGAAAAACTGTGTGTGTGGACTCTTCCCTGCATAGATGTTTGACACCTAACCGTTCATTGTGTGCTGAATGCATGTGCACTTGTCCAGGACGTAGCCCAAGCCTTTGACCTCTCGTTGGAAGTGACTTTATGAAGCTTCCCGGATTGCTGGGCTGTAACAAATGCTAACGGTTGCGGATTGTCCCCTCCATCTTGGCGCTGTGTTAGGATCCACTTGAACGCTCTGGGCCAGCTGACGTCCAGACTTTCTGCCCTTAAAGGTGAGCCCACACCTTCAGACGCTCCCTTAATCAGGAGCCTCTGATTAGAGGCACCAGGCTCCTACTTTACACCTTTAATTCCCAAGATTAGTTTACCACACATTGCATTTGTGTTTTCCTCTGTTCATAACCTGTGAATGAAGGCACACTTTCTTTTTCACCAGCAAATAAACAGTCCCTTTCAGAAGTGCAGAGACACTGTCGGAGATCAAAATTCAGACTGACGGGATGATTAAATTCTTGCATGTACAAAAATATTCCATGCATTTACACATGAAATGGGATATATGGACTCATCAGAATCAAAACTAAACAAAAAGGCCGAATCCAAGCGGCACAGAAACAAGATTTTCTCTCAGTAAGACGCACCTGGCAACAAGCTTTTCATAAAGTTAGACAAACATTCTTTGAATTCGTGCGGCGAGAGCAACTCCTATGATTGAAGAAATTAGGTAGGTTTATACTGAGTGCAGGGAGCTGAGTCCCCAAAACCCTCCATTTTCTAGTTTAATATAAACGTCAGGGACTAGGAGACAAAATGGGCTTTGGGAGTTAAAATAGCAACTTTCTGTACTTTTTGAAGAATGTCAGTCTGTAAAAGAGATGATCTTCATAATGATGGAAGCAGATCAAAAACTGCTCTGCCACTAAAAAATGGTAATGACAGAGAAAGAGGGCTGAAAGCTGTGCATCCAATCCGGTAACAGAATCAGCAACAGCGAGACGGGAGCTGGAAGTTTTTCATCACCTCAGAGCTCAGTGATGGATGGTGTGAAAAGCGTGCTGCTGTGAGTTTCCTGCAGACACTTGTAATCTCACAACCTGATCATTTAAATAATCCCACATGTTCTGTGTGTTTTTTATTTTTTGCTCGTTTTTCTGTACCAGTGTGTTTAAAAGAAAGAGCAACGAATCAGTTTGACTGATAAATCACCATATTATGAGACTCTGATAAACATTGACTTCATACATGTGATGCAGTGGAGTGATGATAAAGTTGAGTAACTAACTCTTAAGAATTACAAGTGAACTATGATAGAACTCATTTTAGACTGGCTTCTGGATTTACACCCAATCAAACGGATTAAATTAAATCAATTATTAAGGAAGATAACTTTTATGGACAGATTTCAGTAGTAAAGCACCCTTAGATTTTCAATAATTCACTTCAGTTGAAGGTTTCTTTTATTTTGCCTTGACAGTATGAACTCTGTAGCAGAGCCTATTTTTATTCATTCCTATGTTTCTATGCTGCAAAGTATGATGTTAGCCACTATTTCCCCTTTATGTGACAATCCTTGATTTGAGAATTATGGACAATTTCATTAGCTAATTCAATTCAATGACTGTATGGTATCATGTGTAATGAATTGTAAGAGGCTCCTGGTCTGTCATGAACATCTCGGATACTAGTGTACAGCTAAGTAATGCTAAATATCCTGCAAGTTTTGGTATTAAAAGTCGTTTAGCCCTTATTATATATCACACATTAGTGATTGAAAAATGGACAGGCAATCCAAAAAAGATGACCTGAATCAAGACTTGAAAAAGATACCTCAGAAGGGGTTTTACATGATTTTAGGAACAATATACTAATGAATATTTAAAGCAGAAATGGGCAACACTTAACCAGCCACAACCAGTTCGTACTGACGGATTTACGGTGAGAAAGTGAGTACATTTTTACACATCCATGGGAATTTCTATGCTGGCCTACCATTTATAAAACATTATGTTATCATTTATTCCGCAAAATGGATATGTATTTTTCTTTTCCGTGATTAATGTTTACATAAAGAAAGTGGAAATTTAAAGGCCGAAAAACTGAGATGACAGTCTCGCTGAAACAAATGCACAACACGGTCAAATGGGGGGTGAACTGACAGGCGTAATGCATCAGATAAAGCCAATAAACATCAATGGACGATGGCTGTTCATTATTTTAGAGTTCCATGACATGTTAAAATAATCGCTTTTCAGAAAACAACATGTTGTCTACGGATAATGGATTTCTCTGTCAAAGGCGCTCATCCACATATTCTTTATGAGTAAAATAAATCTGCACAAGCAAAGCCACCTGCCCCTGAGAGTGATACAACTGAGCTGGAGAGAGAGAGGCACTTTTGCCTGCTACTTTTTAATCAAGATGTCTGTTGCTTCAAAAGGCACTCATTATGTCCAAGTGAGCATTGGTAAAAACATTCACACTGATTAACCTCCACGTGTTCATTTTTAAGTCTGCTTAAAATTTTTAATACCTTCCACACCGTAGCTACACAACTGCCACACAAATTAATTACTCCTGTACTCCTCGAAGTCACCTAAAAAATGCAAGTGTGCGCTGATGAATAATTTAGCTTCAGAGTCAAATACATAATCCACATGTAATCCATAGGATGTCAAGGATCCTGGGATCGACCCCCATAAAAAACAACAAAATCCTAAATTTGAGGTCTATAATTTAGTGAATAACATATAACATTCAGAAAAAAATATCTCTGCCTTTGAAGGTGAATAATGAAGCCATATTTAAAATATAAAACCAAATAAACAAACAAAAAAAAAATCAGAAATAGCCTTTGACATATCAACTTGGCAGGTTCACTGAGAATTTTCAGCCTTCGTATACTCTTCTCACCTTACAATGGCCGTGACTTCAATGCAATGCGTGACCTTTGGCTTCCTTCTGCAGCTCATGTTGCCGTCTGTGTGTTTCCACTTTAAGCAGAGCTCTACAAACCCCAGGCATGGAGGCAGTAAAGACTGTAGTGTCATTTCAAAGGTGTGCTAGTGACTATAGAATGTTCCGCTTTGTGTTGCCATGTCAATATGGTGCATAAAATCGCAGCAACATTTTTTCTTTTGAAGACTGCTTCAGAGGAAAAACAAATGAAGGCACAAAGCAGTACAGGGTATGAGAGCATATTTAATAGTTACACTGCTAACATCACTCCTTTAAACAAGTTGTTGGAAGCTGGAGTCTGTCTGTGTTGCTCACGAGGCAGTGTAATACAGTTTTGTGCCGTGGGGCAGCTACAATGTGGGTTTTACTGGCAAAAGTCGACAGGAAGACATGTTACAATTTTATTGGACAGGTAGACGTCCAAAAGAGTAAGGCTGTTATAATACCGAAAGCAATAACGAACCGTCGTCCTTTTGCTCTGTCTCTAAATCTACAACCATGTCAATCCTGCATTTGATATTGTTTTGGCTCAATACCATACTTCACATTTTGTGAAGAGAAAAACATTTGTATAACAAATTTCTTTGTGGCAATGCTTTTGGTGGCTCATCAAAGGCATTACCCATGGAATTCCATCCAGTCACTTTCCCAGATGACAATGGGCGAGAGGCAGGGTCCATCACAGGGCCACACAGAGACAAACAACCACACACACTCACAGTCACTCTTAAGGGTAATTTAGAGTATCCAAAAACTTGCATGTTAGGTTATAACATGCAAGGAACCACTGATATCAATCATTTTTTTGTGAAGTCGTGTTTGATAAGTTGTAATGCTAATGCTGGTGGAAAGTATTCGGGCTAACATTAGCGGCTAATGTAGGTTTCTAGCAAATGCTAACACTTCCAGAGCAGATCATGACTCACACGGTGGAAATAATATTCTTCTTTTATGGCATTGTTTAATTAAGACAAAGACTAACAAACTATAGAAATGTAAATAGATGACATATCCCATGAAAAGAAGCCTTCTAAGAGTCTTTGGTTACTTTTTGCAATCTTATGCCACTATTGGCCATTAGCAGGTTATGGCAAACTCACATTATATTTGAAAAACTGGAGACTGCTCATTTCTTTTTTGTCTAAAGTTTTCAAAAGAATGCAACAATGCCATATTCATATTCTACTTAAAGCTGCAATAGCATATGAAGTAAACTGCATTCAAAGAAAAGAAGGGGAAAAAAAGACTTCCTGGTTCATAGAGCAGATCTCAGCTGGGATCACTCTGATGTTTTCCCACTGCCAGAGTAGGTCCCAGGTTCTCCCCTGGTACCCAAATGTCCAATAAAAATTGCAATTCTAAAATAAAAACCATTTAAGCAAGCAAATAAATTGCAATATGTCCTATTACATATGTGTTGCTAACTCCATGAGCAAATGATGACTTAAAAGACCGATGAAGAAGCAGTTATTTAAAGTGACGTCATCCCCTTTTCTCCATGTCAGCACAAAGTCAAAGCAGTATCAAAAGCGTTGCTAGTGATTTACTTTTTTGAAAAGAGGTAATAGTTTAGAGAATAAGACATCTGGAATTAAATTACTATGTGCAATATTCTACTGTATCAACACCCTTTTTTCTAAGTTTATTCAAAATCTCTTAGCTATTTAAATTCATGACCCTATTTCCCTCATATAATCCGTCCCACTACAAACCCAGGCAGTGCTAGACTAATATATTCATTAACCAAAGTACACAAGTATGTCATTTTGTCTTGCTGTTCGACTTAAACTTTTCGTTCATTAAACACTTCAATACAAACTAATTATGTGTCAGCCAGTACAAAAAGTATTTTGGAAAAGCTCTATGCTACCTCGATTGGCATCATGCATTGTAGCCCGGGGTAAGCATCTGTGGAACATTTTAATAGGACTAGCTATTACCAACACTCAAAGTTTGTCATTGTGATTTTCCAAACGAGACTCACTCAGCAAAACATGAAATAGTCTGATAAATGTCATCCATCCATCATCTTTACCTCTTAGGGTCGAAGGGAGGCTGGAGCCTATCCCAGCAAAGAAACACAGTGTCAAAGTTTTTCATTAAATAGTAACATTTGGACTGTAGCAGCATATTCAATGTGCTCAAAAGTTGGCAGTAATCCTGACTGACAGGAGGATGAGGCAGGTTAAGACCTGTTTTCATTTTCAAATATATATATATTACCATACTATATTTGATCATTTTGTTGGGTGCTTTTTCATTTCTGGTGTCATTTGTTATTTTAAATGCAACAATATCATCTAGTTATATTTTGGTATAAAAAAAATAACTTGGTTGAGGTTAGATCCTTAAGAATGAGGTGGTCAAGATCATGCATTTAAAAAAAAACAACAACTTGGAGCCAGACCTTGGCAATATCTAGTGGCATTAAAGTTTAAGGCACTTCCTCTGTGGCTTTTCTTTTAAACTTGGTGGGTTAATTTAACTTTCATCACAAATATGGGGAGGACACCCCACTTAGCCACACTGATATTAGTTATTCAGAGTGAATGGCATTATTAGCTGAATTATGTATTTCTGTGATACTAACACAACATTTCTAGTCATATAGTGTTCTGTGGTATAGGTTATTGTTATAAGGAGAAATCTTAAATTATAATTCTATTGTAAGTGTTTATGGAAGAACTTTTGTCTTTTTTCTATTACTACATGACCAAAACTTTAATGGGAGAATGCTGTATTGTTTAACCTACCAACTTATTCTGGAATCATTTCAAGGCACTTGACTTGATAGGAGGTGAAAAATAAATCTTTTAAAGGCGGAAAAAAAAATCACAAACGGTTTAAAACCAAAAGCAGTCCAATGACAAAGAGGGCGCTCGGTTCCTGCATCACTATGGAAAGGGAGACAACCCCACTCAGAAAGAAAACACATGGCATCAGAGTCATGCTGACCTCCGGGCGGAGCTCACAAACCTCTGACGATGTGTTTGCTTCACTCTCTACCAGCGTTTCGGGAGAAATACAGGGAGCCTTTTCCTCCTCTTCCCAGAGTGAGACAGGCTGAGGAACAGTTTCTCGGCTCACCTCGGTGACACCTGTGTTCACTGAGGTGCTTTCTGTGAGCTCCTGTGGTGACGGGGCCTCTTCTCCACCTCTAGTCTCTGCTACAGGTAACAAAGGTGCCGGTGTGCTGCCTGCACAACCTGCTGCTGTGGAACCTTCTGATAATCCCTCAGCGAGTTGACTGAGTTCCCCGGCAAGCTCTGGCTCACTGCCCCGAGTCTCACTGGGACAGGAGACACACTCAGCAGGCAGTTCAGGTTCAGTCAATCCATTCTGCTCCGGTGTTAACGGCACATTTGTCTCTGTGGTAGGACGCATGGGAGAGGCCTCTGAGGCTGGGGTTTCCTGTATTTCAGCTTGGGACTTGTCTGATCTTGGTACGGACTCTTGAAGAGAAGGAGTCGATGCAGAGGAACTTCTGTGTCTGGACGGTTCTAACGTGCGGTGCTGGGACTCGTTTGGCTGGGCTGATTCGCTGGCATAGAGTACAAAGGCCGAATTACTTTGAAGAGTGGTTTCAGAAGACACACGAGGAAACCTATCACCTGGGGAAACAGTGTGAGTGGACTGTGCGCCATCACCGGACTGAGGCTGGCGGTTGGTTGGGACAGAGGAACCAGATGGGTGACCTGCAGTCTGTTAAAGGAAAACAGAGAGGACACAGTGACAGCTTGGAGAAAGTGTGAAGACAAAAGCGAAAGATTTGTGGTCCACTTTCTTTTATGCACACCCAGGAAAGAAAAGCATTTTGCAACCTCTTAATGCTTTTCAGTGAAATGCACCTCATGCTGACACTGTAAATATGACAAAATGCAGACATAACAGGGCCAGTGATGTAAGGGAAAAGAGGAAAGACGCAGGCATCTTTTTGAGAAATCATTACTAAAAGATGCCTCGAGGATGGAGAAGAAGATAGAAGTTTCAACCTCCAAAAAAGATGAAAGCAACCTGAACTTTACACACTCTCGATATTTATGCATACAGATGGAAGGTGATGCTGTTTTTCTACTGAACGGCGGGAACAAAAATCAATTTCATGATAATAAAAACTGCACATTTTCCATTTCAAGAGATTTTTATCCCCCTCCAAAAATGTGAACAGCGTCATACAAAGATGACATTGTTACAATAAAGAAACAAATATCAAATATCCAATAAAAACCAGCACCCATAGAAACACATTCAATGGTCGGCCACACAAAACACAAATAATAGAACAACTACGACCACGCATGAAAGTGTTAGACAGCACATAGCAGCTAGACAGAGATGGTTGTGTTAAGAGTGATGTTATCCATTTCCCAGAGAAAATAATTGAACAATCTCAAAGTTATAGGTGGAAAACAATTCTAAATGTAGTCACCACTACATTTCTCATTTTGGATGCCGCAGCGTTTTCTATTAAGAGTTCTGGGCTTCATAAATGAGTACCACATACTTTTCAAAGAAACTTGCTTTCAGTTGACGCAAGAGAGCTCTTTGGTAGGATCCACAGTCATGTTAATGCTTTTCTTCATCGTGTTTTGTTTGAAAAGCCTCAGGGAAAAACAAACTTTAGTGCACAGCTGAATGAACTACTGGAACAGCGGGTGTAGGCGATTACACTGCCAAAATATATGCAGAACTGAGTACATGCCTACCAAATACATTCATAATATCAGTGAGAGTAATATCTGCTTGTATGTTAATATACTGAGTTAGGGTGTGTTATTTCAGAAAAAATGCGAATTACTTGTTTATATTTCAAGTACTCTGACTTTTTTCTTGTGAGATACAAATAGATGACATTAGTTCTAACCTCTAACATCTATGTTTATGATTACTGTTGCTGTAATATGTATATTAGTGAGCCAAGTTTGTCTTTTTATTTCTCCAGACTTAAATGGGAAGACTCAAAAGGTGCAAAAACGCGAGCGGCATGCTGCATGATGTGAGTACAAGGAGAGGGAGAGGAGAGAAGGAAAGTAACACCGAGGTGCTGCCGTGGAGAGTAGCAAGACATTACCTAAGTTGTTGCTGAAGCTTCAATGAGCTGTGAACAATATAAACAACCAAGCCAACAGTGATAAGCTTTTAAAGTTGATCATAAATGGCGGTTATGTTTCATTAGATTCATGACTTGTATGAATGGATAAAGCATCTCCTTACCTGTTAAATTTGACTATCTGCATGCAGAACAAGGACATTACACCAAATCTATCAAGTAATGAACTGAATATGTAAGCAGTTAACTCTTTTTCTTCATCAACTAACAAATCCTGCCGGGTCAAAATGATTTCCGCAGATCTTTTTATTTACTTTGCCCTTACCTCTACATCAATCTTTGGCTGTATGATATCTGGAAAGACAGGTCTTGGCCTCACAAGTTCTGGCTTGGAGGTCCCTGGTTCATCTTCTGATGTAAAACAGAGATATGGACTGTGAGGCTCTTGCAGGTCTTAATAGAGTGAGGGAAAAAAGCCATATGAATAACTATTCACAAGCAAACTGTTCACATCAACAGAGTGAATGAAAAAGCTCATTAAGATAAGATTATTCATCCCTCAAAGGGAAAATCTGAGTGTTGCAGAAGCAGATAAAAAGCAATCTAAAAAAAAAAGCCTATAATAAAACTACAGTATAGAGAGACCAAGGCTGAATGGATTATATAAATATATACACCAAAAAGATGTATTGCACATAAAGAGATATTGCACGAGTGAGAATATTGCACAGTGATCAGTCTAATGGAGGTGTGGGCTGACAGCTGCAGGAAGGAAAGACAAGCCATATCGCTCTCTCACACACTTCAGGTGAAAATAATGGAAGTTCTCCTTGAGCTGCGTTATAAGAGATTCGAATCTGATTCAACTATTTCAGCCAGCTAGATTTGAATGTTCTTTGATAACTTAAAACAATTGCAACTCTTATTCTGTGATTTACACCGTTTACAATAACACTGGACATACTTGATGATTTTATTACGTCTGCTGTTTGTCAGCAGACGATTATGGACTGTGACAACAGTCATTTTTGTCCATAAGCATGAATTCCATACCTTCTTCCTTTTCCTGCTCATCCTCTGAAGTGAAATCTCTGTTCACATAGAAACATAAGAGTTAAATTTGGGTTATATTTACATACATATATACGCATCTGAAATAAATATATATATAAAAAAAAAACATTCAATCCAATACCATTCAAAAGCAGCTAAATGTTTTTGTATTTTGTCTCCAAAAGCAACTGAAACCTCTACTTCTTGATAATACATGCATGATAAGACCAGAGGACGATGCAGTTGATCATTTAGAGGGTTCCCCGTTCCCCAGGGTTGTGTGTATCTGTGTGGCCTTTGCATATTGTCCTTGTGCCCATGTGGGTTCTCTCTGGGTATTCCGGTTTCTTCCCACAGTCAAAAAACATCCCTGTCAGGTTAATTAATGATTTGGAATTTGAGTAGTGACCTGTCCAAGGTGAAACCCGCCCAATGGCAGCTGGGAAACACTCCAATACACCCTGCAACTCAACCAGGGATAAGCAGTGAAGCAAATGGATGGATGGATGTAACAGAAAACTGAGGGGGAACAATGGATTTAAAATTGCATTAATCTCTAGAGCCATATTTGGCTATTTAGGTCCATCCATTCATTTTCTATACCACTTATTCCCACAGGGAGCCTATTGCAGCTGGCAATGGGCAAGAGGCAGGGTACACCCTGGACAGATCGCCCGTCCATCGCAGGGCCACACAGAGACAAACAACCACCACACTCACAGTCACTCCTAGAGGCAATTTGGAATGCCCAATTCACCTAATATTCATGTGAGGCAACAGTAATTACAACCACACCACCGGATAGTAAATCAAAATCACCAGACAAATGCGGAGCTTGTGTATAGAGATGAATAATCAGCTCAATAAAAAAAGTGTATTTATGAGTTAAAAAAGTTGTAAAAGAAAGCTGAATGATTCCACTTGGCTAATCGCTGATGCAGTCAAGGTGCTGAATGAGCAGTTTGTCTTAAGCAGAGCTTTGTTTCTCTCATCGCTTTGATGTTTTTTTTTTCTATTTGTGACCTGCTGCACAGCTGAGCAGCGCGTCCTAAAGCCAAAAGACTCAGCGGTGACCCGTCTCCTGAGACGGTTTGTTAAAATAGATGGCGGGATGGAAAATAACTGAGTGAGATTCTGTTGACTAAGGCTGCGGGCAGGGACGGTGAGAGCCAATGGCAGTCATAATTCAACGCAAAAGTTAATTAATCAAATGTAGCCGTGGAGATGGAAATTACAGGAAAATAAATTAAGCTAAATAGAGCAAACAGCATGAAACAGAGAGGTCTACAGTGAGCAGGCACTTCCTCTTTCAGAATGCAAAGTTGGGGGTGGGGGGGGTCTTAATGGAGTGATTAATCCTCCCCAGAGCCCAAACCTCAACGTTATTGAAGCAGTGTGGGATCATTTTGACTGAGAACAGAGCAAAAGGCAGGCAACACCCAAATGATAGCTTTGGGATGCCCCTCAATAAGAGACTACTTAAAGAAAACAAAGATACTGACTTCCAAGATCATTAGAACTATTCAATCTCTATTGTTGTCTTAATGGCCGCATTTATGTTGGCTCATGTCAATAAATCAGAGCATCTAGCTTCTGTTATTCCTGGAAGTATAAAAAGAAACGAGTGGCGGCTACACTACACATATAGATTTCCCACAGTTCGTCACAGGACTGGTTAAGTAAAACCATCCATTTGCAATTGCTTTTTTTCAGCTTTCTAGCTCCATCATGGCGAGCACACAATCTCCAACAATATCCAAACGCTATTTTTGTCAAAAAATTTGTCAGAAATCTTTTTTTAAAGTGGACGGATCACTCTGTACCTAGACACTTCTGGGAATGTCCAGACCTTTACTTGAGTGTGACACGGATGGGGAAAAAAATAGCTGGGTGTGTTCATGCTGACAGGTGTGCAGAAAACTGATTTAGGTGCTCCTTACAAAACTTATTCTGCCCACTATTCTCCAAACTCATCAGTGTACATTTTTTGCTCAGTTTGCAGAGAAAAACAGAGATAGAGAGAAAAAAAAACTTTAAAACTAAAGTTCTAAAGACTAGAAAAGGGGTTCGGAGAGGTGGGTAAATACTACTGGTGAGAGAGTTTATTACTTAAATGTGTTTAACAACCATCAGTCCACCATAGATGAATCCATATCTGCTGTTTTGTGAGGATGCTGCTGCTGTTTCTGCTCCCCAAAACCTCTCCCCATCTAAAGAGCAGCAACAGTGAACCAATAAAGCATCTACATCACTGCGTAATCGTTCTGCTTCCTCCCAAGTTGCCCAAAAGCTTTAGGAGCTTTGCAGCTACCTCCACCTTCATGACCGGGTATTGAAAGATCGATCTCGCATTTCCATGTTGACGTTACGATGAATAAAGGGATTAGCCGGCTTTAATGGAGAGCCGAAGGAAGAGAAGTGGTCTGTGTGCCAGCCCCTTAATTACACACGGGAAAGAGGCCAATCTGCTCCTTTGATATCGCCCTGCTCCCCCCGGACTCTGATCGAAAAGGTCAAGAGGTAAATTTTAGTTCAGGGCAACGGCAGGGCTGAAAATGACACCTGCCCTTTGCCTATTTTTGATCATCTCACACACCACTGGGTGTTTGGCATTCGGGGCAGGGCGTGTTGCTCTTGAAAAAAATCCAATCCAGCAACCTGACTGCAAAGAGCAAAGCTCGGCCACAGAAATGCTTCATAACCTTCGCAGCCTTTCAAAATGCAACAGACTGTGTAACTTTGTTTAGTAACACTCAGCTTTAGACTTCAGTGCAGTCTCCAGGCAGAACCACTGACTAGAGCTGAATGCTCATGTCAGCCATGAATTCTTGAGGGGAATGAGTCAGTCTGTGCAGCCCTGTGTCACTGCACACTTTGTCTTATGGTTAATGTTATATAACCTTTCATTAAGACTTTTTCCTTGTGCTGTTTTATTATTATAGAGTGCATCTGGGGCTTTAAACAGCCCAAATGAAGACTTTAAAGCCCTAAAGCTGACTTCACTGACATGGAAAACCACAAAGTTAATTGATCTGTGCATGTCAACGGGCCGGTGGGTGGCAGGCAGACGGCTTGCTTTCACGTAGTCAAGAATGACAACACATGTACCTGAATACTTTGGGGGGTCTGAGGATACTTCTCGTGTGCGGCACGTCAGCGCTCGCCTGAGCCGCACCGTCTTCGTAGGACAGCAGCAGCGTCACCGCGTAATTCATACATCTATTATTCGCCCAATAATCGCCGTCGGAAGTTTCGTAGCGAACCACAAACTCAATGCGAGAGCCGTGCGCGATGTAAGGGGGCGCAAAGGACAGCTTGAAGCAGAACTGGTCGGTGTCCCCATCATTGGAGCCATGGACATACTCTGCCGGGTGGTCAAAGTAAGTGGCCCAGTGGTCCATGGTGGATCTGATGTAGACTGCTTTGTGGAAGGATATGTTGAGGACCCGTATTAAACCACCGAAGGCCAGTGGTTCGTCCTCCGCAGGAGAAATGTTCTCCACCTCCACTTTATTGGCGCGCACAGCCTCCAGGAGGACGCGGCCGTCGGGAGCCTGGTACTCGGGGCGCACGGTGTAGGTGGGCTCCCGCTGCCGGCCGCGGTACTTCGCCTCCTCTTTCTCCCACTTTTCGCTGGTCTCCTCGTCGTCCGAGTCGAACAAAACGAATTCCCGCACGTCCACCAGATCTCCACCTGTTGTGTCGGCGAATGACACCCTCTTCCCGGCGGCTAGCGCCTGGTGGATCCGCATATACTCGGCCGTCTCATCGAATATGGACGCGCCGCGCTTCCTGGGCACCGGGGAGCACCTGGGGATGAAGCGGACGTCCTCGCTGTCATCATCCTCATCATCATCGTGATTGTCATCGGCGTCCGTGCGTGAGAGACCCTCCGCTTCCTCGGCTGACTTGCCAGCTCTGACGGCGGTGAAGAGGCCCTCTTGGCTTGGTATGGTTAAGAAAGACATTTTTTAATTTGGCGGCGGTGATGAGGAGCGCATACGGCGTCTGGAGCTGAACACTAACGCATAGTAGTGGTTCGCACAGCAGCAGCAGCCGGCGTGGATCCAGCGTTTGGCTTGCGTTACGCACGGAGCCTCGAAGTCAACGTGTGGCGTTAAATGTCACCCATGGAAAAGCAGGGTTATGTGCCAGCACTCGTGATAGTGTATCCCCCGGTTCAGGTGACTTAAAGCGGCTCAGCCTGACTGCTTCCGAGGAAGCAACATCCTCTAAATTTAGCACGGACCTACTGGGGGTCTTGTGTGACCCATTTTAATTTTTTTTTTTACAAAATATAATTCTGTTTCTCTTTACTGCTCTGTATGGCACTAGCTGGCTTTGCGCCTACTAGTGGAGATCTTAGCTATGCCTCTAACATATTAGGTGCCAATTAGGATTTTAAAGAAAATGCCTGTTCAGGCTCTGTACTTTTAAACTATAAAATAATATATATTTCCAGATCATCTCAGTCTCACATCATGCCAGACTAAAATAGAACAGCAGGCGATTGGCTAATACTACTTTCCATATCTGACCAGCCTAGTGGCTTTAACCCAGTTTCATTCAGTTGCTGATGCCTTTCTGCTGTATCTGAAGGGATGCGCCTTTGTGTTTACATAACAGGGTGAAACTTAGCCCTGCACAAACGTTGTATATTCTTATATAACACAAAATCTTCATGCAATGTAGAGGAAACGTTAAATACAAGACGGAGCCAACCAGATACCAACATTTGGTAGATTAGTTGTATTTTTATGCAAATCGTTTTGGGGGAATAAACTCGGTCATTTGTATTTCTGGTATGTGTGGGTGATTTCTTTCTTTCTTCCTTATATTTTTTGTATATATCTGCGTAGTATGTTTAAGTCCCCTTAATCAACTGTTGAAAAAGTGAGACTCCGAGTAGATGCTTCAGTTTGGTACGTTCATAGAATTCCGTTTCACGGTTAGACGCTCTAATATTCTCTCGCCGCCGCCGCGCCTGCGCAGTGGAGGCGCTGTTACGCGCACAGCCCTCTGTAAACACACCCTTGCACATGATTGGTCGGGGCGTTTTAGCGCGGCGCGCCGCAGCCAATCAGGGAATTGTTTTTCTACCACGTCGTTGAGCGCATAGTAAGCTAACGCATAATGCAAATGTAAACTAATATAAAGAGCGCGGGACGCTGGTAATGGGGATATTTCCTCGGTGGTATTGATAATTTGGATTGAGTCCGCCCTGTTGGAATTGTCTCCGCGGAAATGTGGTGCAGCCGTCACTGTAAGAGCACAAGAATTGGGTAACCCTAGCTAAGTAAGTTAGCTATAGCTTGCTAATTTTCAACGATCTGCAAGGCCGCGGAGAAATACGATAACTGCTTTCCAGTTGTGGGCTTTACTGAGAATGTCGCTTGCACTTAAGTCAGCGTGTCAAACTCGCCACGGTTAACGAAGCAGCTAGTCTGAAGGCGCAGTCCGTTTCACCTTAGCTCATTTCCGAAGAGTTCGCGGGGTATCCAGCTTGTTGGCTCGAGCTAGCTAGCATGAGTGAACTGACGGAGTGCAAACAGTCTGCTGACTCCGCGTCGAGGAAACGGAGCGCATCAGCCGAGCAGGATGAGGGCTGCGCGGTCCCCCAAAAGTCGGCCAAAGCCCGGGACGACTCGAACGTAACGGGCGCCAGTTTGGAAACTTGCGAGAACAGTGGACTTGCGCATAAAGACGCAGAAGGGAGCGAGTCGAAGGATGGCGGGGACGCGCCGGCTGCCCCGCAGGGAGAGCGGGCTCCGGGCGGGACGGACGGCACAAGTTTGCCGCCTCCAGGCAGCTCGGGCTCGGGTGTCCAGGGTGCCAACGCCGCCGACAAACCGCCGTCCTCAGAGCTGCGTGCACCCGAAAATTCCAAGGGAGACGCGGAGAAAAGAGCCGGGCCGGTGCCGTGCCCCCCGGCCCCCGTGGACCAGTCTGACTCCGCGGCCATAGCGGCCGCCGAGGCGCTGGCCAGCCTCACCGGGGGGGACGGGGAGGACAGCCGAGAGACTCCTTGCTCATCCGAAAAGGCTAAACAGGTGAAGCACGGGAGCAAGTACAAGCAGCGCGGAGGACACCTGTCCTCAAAGGTGGGCTCAAAGACCCAGGCGGCCGCAGCGGACAGCTCCACGTCCGTCCACAGTACAGACCGGGAGGACGGGGACGAGGCACCAGAGGCCGGGGAAGGGGAAGGGGAAGGGGACGAGTCCGTGTCCGGTGCCTCCTCCACGCCCAGCTCCTCCTTCCCGTCGGACAACGAGGACAACGACGACGGCGAGTGCGCCATCGTGTCGGTGAAGATGGCCCCGGAGATCCGGCAGTCGGTGGCTCTGCTGGCACAGGTGCAGATGAGGCTGGAGGCTCTGGAGAAGAAGAGCGCCCGCCTCCACCAGCGGCTGGAGCAGAAGGTGTGCCGCCAGAGGCGCCCACATCTGGACCAGAGAAGCTCCATCACGAAAACCATCCCGGGCTTTTGGGTGACGGCTGTATCCTTCCGTGAAAAACTGTCCACGCACGCTGGACTCCTGCTTTGAATTTGAGGGTTTGAAATGAGGCTGTGTTTGGTTGCTTTTGTTTGTTTTTATTGTCTTAACTTGGCCATCCCAGCTGCTGAACCACCCGCACCTCTCGGCTCACATCGACGAGACCGATGAAGACGCTCTAAGTTACATGACGGACCTTGAGGTAGGACGCACCGGGCGGCTTCTCGCGCTCCTGGCTTTAGAGAAGACCAAGCAGCGTCTCATTAAGTCTCTTCCTGCTGTCCTCCTCAGATCGAGTCTTTCAAGAATAACAAACTGGGCTACAGAATTCGCTTCCACTTCAGACGGAATCCGTATTTCCAGAACAACATCATCATGAAGGAGCTGCATCTTGGGATGGGAGGTATGAAATAAAACATCTAAAGGGAGGAAGAAGTGCTATATGTATGTGTGTGTGTCTCTATGTATGTGCTTAGAAGAATCTGACTTCTCATCTTAACTCTGAATCTAATTTCTGTAGGTCTGCATGTCCCTTTAACTCTGGGTCAGCCTCTGACCAGCCTCTCTGGTTGCTGCTTGTGGTTTTAGGCTCACCCATGTCTTTCTCCAACCCCATCCTGTGGCACCGCGGACACAACCTGACGGCTCACAGCGAGCCCAGGAAGTCCTCACGAGGGGTTTACGAGACCTTCTTCAGCTGGTTCAGCGACCACAGTAACCCGGGACAGGACGACGTAGCGCAGGTAGGACAGAGCTCTGTCCCACCTCACGTTCAGTAATGCCAGTTGTGTTTGGAGTCAAACAGTTGTATTGATGTGTGTCAATGTATTTGCGAGGGCAGATGCATTCAAAATTTTTTCCTGTTTTTCTGACACGGAGAATAAAACATGTCCTAAAATAGTTGATAGCTGGATTAAGGGTCGTTTACATAAGGTTTCTATGCGAGGCTTGTCTTCCGTTGCTGTGGAGAACATGAATGGCAGTTTTTAGTTGTTAATTTTTTTTAAATGAGTTCCACAAACAAAATGAAACTTCTAAGTTAGATGTATGTTTGTATATTTTTTGCTCTTAATTTATCCCTAGTAGGTGGTTAAACAAACACACGACAGACAGCAGCAGAGTATTGTCCGATCACATGTGGTTTACGGGTCACTTATCAAAAGCCACGGCTCACGCAGAGCTTCCTTTTCAGCTGGGTCGCGTGCAAACGTGTTCATGTGATGTTTTGTGCTGTGTTCTAGATACTTAAGGACGACCTTTACAGAGACCCACTGAGATACTACCTCACTCCTCTCTGGGAACCAAGGGAGAATGGAAGGTAAAACAAACAGACCCTCACGCCTCAGTTCACCACAAAGTGCTTATTAAGCTGCAGATATTCTCAGCACCTTCAAATTACAGTCCGCCCGTTGTATAACAGTTTCCTGTTTTTTCTGTGTCATTTCCTGCCTGGGAGACCAGGTGGGATGCATACCGCAACGATACCTCTGTTCACCTCACCGTGTGTGTGCGCGTGTGTGTGCATGCATGGTTTCTTTTGAATTCATTGTATTTCTTCTTCTTTCTTTTATTTACTTTTTTTTTCAGCAGTGGCACTGAGGCCAGGGCAGCAGACAACGGGAACGGAGACGATTGTGTAGTGATCTCGGACTCGGACGATGACCCCGGTGAGGAGACGGGCGAGGCTGAACAGGGCCGCAGCAGGGAGGAAGAGGAGGAGGAGGAGGAAGAAGAGGAGGAGGAGGACAGGGGGCAGAGTGCAGGTGAGCAGATCTAATGGAATTGTTTTTTCTTTCTTTTTTTAAACCACATTATGTTATGATATTCTTTTACTGGAAAGTAAACTCTTAAATTCTAATCAGAGCACAGTACATAACATTTTGGGCATTCTGGCCAAACGGCTCCACTTTGGTCTCAAATCATGTAAAGTTTATTTATTTAGATGCAGATTTGTCACCAGCTGAGTGCCATGTTGGTTTAAGAGAGAACAGGCTCTCTCTGTCAATTCCTCGGATTTGTCAGTCATTTTCTAATCATGTCGTCATTGATCTAAACATGGAATGCTCTAACTGAGGCTCCCCGGGGCTGTAAATCCTCCTCAGATGGAGGAGCAGCAACAGTTGCTCTCCTCCGGGCTCGTTGCTGATGTGATGGGACAATCACATCAGGGCTCTGCTTTTCCTAGAGCTCAGGTCCCGGCTGATCACCCCACGGCCCCACCGAGCCGCTTTAAACCCTAAAATCCAAAGAGAACTTCCCCCCCACCGCCACTTTTTTTTTTCACACGGCAGCGCGTTTGATTTTCAAGCCGAATGTCTGCAACAATGTGTCGTTTCATCCCTGAAAGAGAAATGCAGCAAAATGAAGTAAGAATTAATACGCCAGGATTGTGTCCCCAGATGAGAGCCAGGAGGAGGAGGAGGACGGAGAGGAGGAGGACGGCGGGGGAGAAATTGTGATCGATGGTAAGACATCACCACCACCATACCCAGTGGGATTTGGTGGAAAGCAGGTCTTCCTTTTTCTTTTTTTTCTTCAACGGATTTAATTCATTTTCAGTGAACGGGAAGCTTAGCTGTTCCGTGGTCGGTGTTTAGGATGCTCAGCGTCCCCTGAGACTGGAGCCGTGTTATTTCTGTCCTCAGGTTCTGATGACAGCGAGGAGGAAGAGGAGGAGGCCTGAGGAAAAACGTGAAGGCGAAGAGGGAGTTGCACACCAATCAGCCACAACGTTAAAACCACCTGCCTGACATCGCACAGAGACCTCGGGGAGGGACGCGTCATGTGCCATTTTGTTTAGTTCCCCCCCCCCCCCCCCCTTTCTGTTCTTTTTAGTGGGGAGGCTGAATCTGGAGCAGCCCAGTAACCTCCCACCGGAACGCTGGAGTGAAATGAAATTGAACTCACTCGGAATCCTCTGTGGTTTTAATGTCGTAGTTGACTGATGTATTTGGGGGGGGCGGGGGGAGGGCCACCATAGGGACCAGAGAGTTGGACGAGGAAGAGGAGGCTCAATTGACGACTAACAGTGCAAGCATTAAATCCTTCTTCCTGATGTTAGTCAGTTTTTATGCACAGAGTACCAGTCTTTGTTTTTTTATACCTAAAACACACAGAAGCTTTTAAATCAGGGTTAACTGTAACAATAAAGCCAAGGCAGCATGTTTCCCTTCTATTTTCTACTCTCAGTGCTGTGTAATCTGATGTACTCTCATTCACCTTTTTGTGTTTGTTTTTTTCCTTTTTGATTGTTTGTTTGTTTTTTTAAATGCCTTCTGAACTCATCTTGGGTATATTACACCCAACTCCTTATACATTTTTTTTCTTTTACCTTTTCAATCGGAACCCATCTCCAGCAGACACTGATTGCCTTCTTGACGGCAGCACATTTCTGAATCGCATCCAACTGAATAAAATTAAATCCTCGAAGGCATCATTAGTGGTCATTTTAAACCGTTTTTTTTCTCTTTTGGCTTTGTTTGTTAGAACTCTTCCCACATAAACGCCTGAAGCTGATTTTGATGGAATGACAGTACATTTTCAGATACACCGAGTACTGAACCAAAACGCGTTCTCAGGGATGATCGTGGTGGTAGTTGTATGGAAAAGAACCTTGCAAAACTTTTGGGGACGTTCACACATTCCTTGTCGTGGGTTGTGTATAAAGAAACGTGTACTCTACTGTAGTAAATAGGAATGGTAATTATTTTAATAGACTAAAAGTGTTTTACCCTGCGTGTCCTGTGGTGTCAGACGCCATCCTCTGCTATGCGAGCCACCTCTGATGTTTTTAATCACTGCGTAGTGTGGTCAGTGATTCTCTGGATTCTTGCATTTGTGTATTTCACCTCTACCCCAAGTACAGTTTTTGACATTTCTTTTTAAACCTTTTTATTTGGCTTCTGCGTGCTTCAACCTTTTAAAACGTTTTTTTTTTTTCTCAGAAATTTCAATGTAATGTCATTGATTGTTTTTTTTTCTTAAAACTTTGCTATTTATTACGTGTTGTTTTTTTCTACACACCCGCATTAAGGCATGCCTGTTAGCACGGCACAGGGCAGGACAATTATAGCACTTAAGAGTCGTGTAGAGGGAGTTAGGGAGTTTCACAACAACGTCATGGGGCGCACTGTACCAAACCTAGTATTTGTATTTGCTTACTTTTCTTAGCAACGAACCTGTAAATAATACTTTGGCATTCTGTTTTTGTTTTTGGATAAGACACGGTTAATCCATGGGTAAATTTATCAAAAGAAATCTGGATTTTTTGGTTGTTTTTTTCCACAGAATTGATCAGAAAGTTCTATTTTGTGTGCTGTGTTTTATAGATCAGTGTGGTTACAGATAGTTGTTTGTTGCTCTGGTTGATTTTTTTATTTGATTTTATTTTTGTTTGTATTTTTTGCGCTGAACAAGATAAATGTCCACCTTTTGGCTCAGACGTAATAAAATAGACAGCCGGTTTGAACTCAGTCTCTGTGTGCGTCTCTGCATGCGCAAAGGGAAACGGTTTCATTAAATTCCCACAAGATGGCAGCACAGTCAAGCTTACCAACACACCTCTCTCTGACTTGAGCTCTGGTTTGGGGGCCATACAGCCTGTATGAAAGTTTTATACCAAGGTGGGAGCTTTCAGTTCTTTGTTAGTGAGACATACCTCGCCTTGCCCTAACCGTCAAACACAAAGGAGGATAGTTAAAGACAGAATATGTGTGACTTATTGAAGTTCTCTCTGATGTGCTTGGTTTTGACACATTTGTCTTGAAGGAAAGGGGTGGGGGGGGGATCAAGAGATACAGCTGGTCTTTTATGTATCCCATCTTTGATATGAAGGCAGTTGTGTGATATCGCCGACAGCTTGAACGCAGCACTGCAAATAGCCCCGGGGAAGACATTTTTGGACAGGCCCAGACAAAGGGAACGGCAGCTCTATCGCAACGGTACACTTAAACCCCTTGATTCCGCTTTTAATGCACAGCTATAAATATTCCACTGGCAACAAAAAAAGACAGAAAAAAACATCCCTGTCATGTTGTGGTTCCAGCAGCACCCGGGGCATGCGGTCCTGCGTGGACATACACTATTAATACTAATGACGAAAGGCATAATGCCCCGTGAAGTGATCCCCTGTTAAACACGGTGTTTGCCTCACATCTCGGTAGCTGCTTTGCTCAGCCCACCTCAGAGCACAACATGTTTTCACCAATATGAATTAATAATAGGGCTGGTTCCTACAATATTGATTGTGACAAACTAAGTACAAAATGCCCGGGACAGCCAAATCATCCCGGAGCTGGTTTGTGGCTTTGGGTTTGTCTGTGAAGCCTTTGTTGTGTGCCAGGTGGCAAAATCCTAAATGGATTCTCCAGTGTACACAACACTCCATTGGGCTAAGCTGCTGTTGTTACCGTATACAAATCATCTTGTCGTGCTGCTTCATGCTCTCCCACTTTCAATAGCTCCTCAAGTTTTACTCAGGGATGAGAAATAAAAGAGGGCGACACGCAAACGCCCATTCTCCATCAATAGTGTTGATACTGAGGAGGATATTCACTCCAAGAGAGAGCAGAGAAAGGGGGCCTGTGCTGCTAGGTGAAGCTCATCTATAGTAGATGATCTAAGAAGCTGAGGTGGGGCCCCTGAATACCAACTAGCTGTGTGTGAGTGTGTGTGTGCGTGTTCTTGTTTGCAAAGGCTTGCATTCTTTCACGCGTGCTCGCATACGTGCAGAGGCCGTTCAGCACATACAAATCGGAAGGCTTTTAACCGCGTGGTGCGTGCTGTCCGCTCGTCAGCACATCAAGATGAAGCGGCGGGGGGGTGGAGATGGGAGGAGGGGGGGGGTATGGCAAAGAGTGAGAAAAACAGCACAGCGCGAGCAGGATTGAGGGGAACGGAGGAGTGCGGCGCGATAAGGGGAGCTGCCCGGGCCCTGACAGATCCACACAGCAGATGGATGACTCTTATCCGGGAGATCACAGGGAGCGTGCTCACGCCCGGGCCCCGTTACAGAGCGCCACGATCACACCAGACAGATGAATGGTGCCTAACCCCCCAGCAAATCACACTGCACATACTGTAGCAACACGTCCACACACACACACACACACACACACAGACACACACTTGGTTGACTGAACAGATTGCAGCGCCTTCGTTACCTTTGTGTCCCTGACATTGAAATTCACCTGGAGTCTGGTGTCTCAAGGATGTGTGCAAAAGAGAGAGCAGGGAGCAAGGGTGTGCACCGAGATAAGAGAATTCAATTTAAATTCGAACAGCGGGGGCGAGCGCGTGTGTGCGTGTGTGTTTGTGTGTCCGCATGCACACACACGGTGCTCACGCATGTTGGCATGCAAATTGGTCTGCCAGACTCAGACGCGGGGGCCTCTGTTTTTTATTTTTCTCCCCTCTTTGTAGCAATTCTCCAGGACACAAAAACGCTGTCTGTGTCAGAGGTGGCCACCCTCTCCTAAAACAAGCAGCGCCCTGCTATTACCAGAAGCTTTTAAAAAAAAGTGCATATACCTGTGAGCACGCAAGAAGTGTGCCCCGGCTCATCCCCAACTACTCCCCCCCTCCTCCTCCTTCCTCCCTAGAAAATATACAGCCCTTGTTATTTTGCAGAGAGCGCGTCTCCGACAGCTGTTGAATCTCCCGGCTGCATTCTACAGCGAGGGAGAGTGCCAGCCTCGTCCTCCAGGCAGATGGTGGCTGGCTGGCTGGCCCCCGCGGACACGTGGCGCGTTTGGATGATTGCGGGCGCCGTCCTTCCCCCCTTCTCCGTGGAAGCCGGGGGCTCCCGTGCAGCGCTCTCTCTCTGCGAGCGCCCGCAGTAGGCCTCACTTGCGATTCAGCGCGAGGTGAGCAGGCTGGGACTGGAATGCGCGTGTGCCACGTATGCGCCCTTCATGTCCAAAATGTTTTCCATAGTTGCATGGCCTTTGATAATCGGTGGCGTGCGAAGTTCGGGGGATGTCATGCGCCACCTGTTCCCCTTCTTCTCATTCTGGTGTTTGCGTCCACCTGTAGGAAGATAATTACAGGTTGTGAGTGGTGGGTTGAATATAAAGTAAATGCTGGTGGCTATTGTCGTGCCTGGCTTCTCTCTTCTCTCTTATCCACTGGTGGAGTCCTGGACATGCCTCTCAAGTAGCAGACATGTTCAGGCTCTGTTCAATTCATCAATACACTGCAAGAGGGACCATCAGTGGGTCAAATAATAGGTTATTTTCCCTCAAGGGGCCAGTGCTCTGCCCTTAAAGCTCCCATGATTGATGTATCTGTGGAAACAGGATTTATCCGGAGCTTTTGGTTGGCCCACAGGGATAAATGTCCACCTCTTATTTCACATCACCTATCCATTTGAGAGGAGGATGCTCTTGACAGAGCAGAAAGCCAGAAAAAGCCAGCCAGTGCCCTTTTTCTAATCCACACTGTCTGTCTCCATGATACCAAATCCATCCATCAGTCCGGAGACAGCAGGCCTCTCCCGCTACCATTTCCTCCTCCTCACACGCACACACTCGGAACAAAAATATCCGTTTCAACGGTGAACGAAAAGCAGAGGCTATTGCGGTCCCAAGTTGAAGCAGAAATGGGCGTGCGTGCCGATGAGATAAGCATAAATGACGATCCGGTAAAAGATACTGATGACGTTAATGGCTGCCCACCCACCAGTCCTTGGGAGCGCGCCAGTTTTCTAGTGTCCATGGCCGGAGTTTAGAGCACACGGAAACCTGAACTCGTCACACAGTCATGACTCACTTCCTTAGCTGGAAACGGTGGGATGTCTCCTGTGGGGCGGGTAACAAAGACTCCCTCCTGGTTACACTTTGACACACAAACTGCGAGTACATCTCATCTGGCTGGCGTCCAGCAATGTGCTCACACACTCACACTGGCAGTGTGAAAACTGATCCAACTAAAGTTGTGCTCGGGCAGGTATCAATCCAACAGAAAACATCTTTGTTTCTGAGACAGTTGTATTTTCTCAGTTGTGCCTCAAAGGAAACTCATACGGTCTTTGTATGGCACAAAGAGCCTTTCTTTCTCTTTTCCTACCCATATGTCCAAAAGCCGATTCTGCAATATTGGAAAGTCTCTTGGAATAGAGCAAAACTAGCTCTGCCACATTCATATCATGATGATCAAACAGGCATGACGTGAAGATCAGGGCCGTTAATGTTTAGTCACTGAGTGCGGGGCTTGTGGACTTTCCACAGTACGATCACTCAACCGCCAGGGAGATGATGCGGGGCTGTCCTAAATCCCCAAACACACACATAGAAGAGAGGAGGTGGTAAGCATGACATAGGAAAGGAAATTAAATTGATCCCATGCCAAAAGAAAAAGCATGCTAACATGTCATGTTGGACCTACAATCTCTGATAATCCAGCTGCAGACTGAATCATTCTTGCAAGTAAACCCGGCTAAACTTAAACACTCCTCAGTACACTTATTCCACTCCAGCAGGAGAAATGGTTCATAAACTTTTCCAGTTCAACCTTAAATTGTCTAATAGCTAAAAACTTTCCAAATAGGTGTTTAAAAATCAGCCCTTTCCTCATAGTTGCTCCCGATTTTATATTCTTAAATACATTTGCTTATAACAGGACTAAGCACCCAGCAGAGGGCTTGCTGTCCAGGAGATGGACAGCACAATCAAATCAGAATCTTACTGACTGACCAACATGCCGGGACACAAGCTGGTATTGGGTGAGTGGACCAGGTGAGTGACCAGGTGCTAAGAAGACAGTTTGGTGGCAAAACCATGATGTTTTCTGGTCACAACTATTCAGGGATGGATGGACTGTCTTCAAAATGAAGACTGCTGACCCTGTCCTTTATGGAACTTTGGTTGAATACCGCTATATTTTAGACTATCAAGGCTTCCAGAATCTGTAAACATAACAAGTCAGATGTCTGTCTGGGCTCTCAGACCTCCACCTCCTGACACTGGAGGCGGTGCTTTACAGCTTCCCAGCAGAAACGGTCAGCCATTGTATTTACAGGTGCTGTTGTTCAAGTTTTATCACGCTATCAAGGCTGAAAAGACTTTCAGCGGCCACTTTAAGGATCAACTCAAAAGGGGGAGATTTGTGAAGGTTTGACAGCAACACACCTCCCCTGTGAACTTTACCCTCTCGCGCATTAGGGGCTGATCTTATTCATTTGTTTCTTTTACTGCCTGACAGGGCTGTGCCTCAGAATGCGCTCGCCCTCTGCTTTTGTGTGTCCGGCGCACCATACTGCGTCACAGCTGCCCTCAAAGCCGGTCAGTGATGAGAGGCACTCAAAAAGCCGTTTTAATTTCAAGCTCAAGGCTCTGTTAGCGGGATTCTGTGTCATTTATATGCCCACCCCTCCTTTGGCTCGCTTTGTCACTGTTGTCATGAGAGCTGGAACCGGGCAGAGAGGAATCCCTGGAATCTTTTTTCGGCTGACCTGACTCTCATGTGGAGCCCGAGAGTAATGGTGACATAGTCCTATAGCAGCAGACAGCACTTCTCTATCTTTAATAGTGGATTTAAGCCCCCTGCCTTGCGGATAAGAATAGTCTATGACCCTGAAGCCTCTAAAAATAATAAAAAAATGAATAAAATTATGCGCACCACAGCTCAGCCCGAATTGTGCAGCTCCCACTTTTCCAAAGGAAAACTAGAGTTGATGGTTTATATTAGAATGGAGCAGAGTGTTAGAATGTTCCACTCACCAGCACCGACGGGGTTAATCATACCCATATGGTGTACCAAGAGGTTTGGTCCAATGCTGCTGTGGGCCAACAGGAGAGGGAAGGCTGGGTGGGGGCAGAACAGACGGGAGAGGACAGCAGGGCAGATCACTCTCCCAACACCTGCACCTGGACACTTGGTTTCCATTCAGATATCAGCAAAGTCCATTTAACGGATCAACATCACGATCACATCTCGGTGATGGTTGCTTTCATCCGGGCTTAAACTTTTGGACAGAGTGGAACAAGGGATCTGATGTCGTTTTTTTTTTTGGGTCCCTTTTTCTTTGTAAGGTTACACAGAGGAATGCCGTCTGTTTAAAGCCATGAAACAGCCATAGCTTTTCCTTTTCTTCTCTCTTTTTTTTTTTTCCTCCAAAGAGGGATTTAAAGAAACCTATTGGGATTGTTTCATGCCGGCGCAGATCTGCTGTGAGAGATTTTTTTTTTTCCAGCCCGGCTCCGAGGCGCATTACGCGGGGAATGCAGCGGTAACATCCCGCAAGTTTGTGAGGGTGTGAGCGGCTTAGTGGCTGTGGAGAAATCCAGAAATCAAAGGTAGGGCTTTTTTAACTTGTCCCCGGTTTAACTTTTAACTCGCGTTTGGTTACTCTGTAGCGCGGTGTGAATGGTGGAGGGCTGGAGTGAGCGCATTTGTTCGGTTCCTATTTCGGGATGTTGAGTTCACAGGTAAGTGCGCACTCCTCCACTAAAAAAAAAAACAACCCGAAAGAAATCCTGTAATTATTTCAAAGGAGACCATGAATTATAACAAGAGAACTTTAATTTGTTCAGTAGCTCCCGCCCAGCTCAGAACACCAGCACTGTTGTACAAATACCACCAAGTCAGCCTGTATTAGAACCCTGAGGCTTTACGCACTTGCAGTACCTGATTGTTTTTTTTTAGGCACTTGAAGTTATTTCTGTAGGATTGCTTGGACTTTGATTGCTTTGTTTAATCTCAATCCAAATATTGCAGGTCTGAGTCTCAGTCTCCATTGATTCTATTTTAATATGTATTTGAATACGTCTGATGTTCACATTGTCATATGGCCAGATTTTCTTTTATTTTTTCAGGATGATGAGCTGTTAAGTTAATGGCTTTTTCCTTTTCAGCTGGAAAAAAAGTGTGCAAGTGCAGTCTCATTGGCGTGAATATGTATTATTTACAATCATTACACAATGCCTGATACAGGGAACAGGAATCTATATCCCCTGCTGAGCAGATTTGGCAATGGAGTGATTGCACCAGGAAGGCAGATAAAAGTGTTGCCAGCATGTCTTCTGTTTGTGATTTCCCCCAAAATTTCTCCATGCCACAGTCTTTTTCGGCTTCCCATTTTCCATGGGAGCATGTTTTTTGTATTAAGTGTCACACCCCGATTCCAGTCAAATCGCACTCCTTTTTCACCATGAATAACTCACCCTAAAAGCCCCTCGTTTCCAGGCGCGCTGTGCGCCATGTGCTCTGCAGGCCGCGGCTACACGGCTGTCATGAGGAGAAAAGAGAAGCCCACGGGATAGCTTACAGCCCCGGCCAAGCACACCTTCAGGGAGACAATTTAATGGATGTTATGGACTCAGCTTTTAGTATTCATAATTCATATGTGATTCTCTCCGGCAAAGTGCAGATGCATAATGAATGATTGAGTTAAGGTCTAACAGTTCGGCCTGCGTTTCAACACCCCTAAACTGTCAGGGATTGTTTCAGCCAGGGCTACCTGTTTCTTTGAACTGTCATGTATCTCACTCGTCAGCTTCTGGGAGTGCACCGACGTGCTTTGTAGACAGAGCGAGCCAGAGCCAGAGGGAATTATTGATTGGCACCATCATTTAAAAAAAAAGAGAGAAAACACAGATACCTATGAAAAAACCTGGTTAATATACACGCATATGTAAGTGAGATGTGTTGAAGAAGCTGTCCGAGATGGCTGGGAGGTGTTCGTCTCCCTGCCTCCATTTTTTTCTGAAAGAGTGTGCTTGAAGGAGCTATTACACAGTCTTAACACATACCTCGCTACATTTACACTCTAAATAAATAATAAGGCTGTCATATTTTCCAAAGCAGGTGCGAAGATTTGGACCTTGTTCTCTCCTGCCAAACTATACGTCTCGTCTAGAAAGGCTGCAGGCCAAACGTCTGATCAGGGAGATCAGAGAGAGTCTCTCGCCTGTCCGTCCTTCTTTTTCTGTCTCATATTCCTCATGGGGCACTCTATAATAATGTTCATTCCCCCTTTCTTCTTTTGTCTAGATTTAGATCTCTGTGGGCTACCTGCATGACCGTTACCATGACAGCATCTGGAGCCCAACTCCTCCTGTTGGCCTTATGTGTTTACGGAGGCTCAGGCCTGCAGCAGTCTGCTCCACGGGTTCGCCTCTCCTTCAAAGGTGAGATATGGAGTAGAACTCCTCAAGCCGAACAGAGTTTGACAATAGTTTATTTGTTTGGTTTGTCCGGCTACTGCGAGTCACCGACACACACACACACACACACACACACACTCATGAACCCACCCACGTCTTCAGCCACGGCGGTGGTTCTGTTTCCTTTTTATACATATGTAGAGAACGCATTTCCTGCCACATGTCAAACAGTGCGACCCTGGAAACAAAAGGTGGATGTTACGTGTGGCTGGTTACTGGTAGGGCCCTTCAACACAGTTTCTTCCCACACCCTAAAACCCTCGCGCAGCATAGTCTGACCTGTCAGTGCCTCCTTGTTTTGATGTCTGACAGTTTGACACAACACGGAAACACCTACAAGTTGATCCCAGGAGCTAGATGATGTTTTAGAGGGGTTGTAGTCCTAGATGGGGTGGATTGAGCTCTCTCTAAAAAAAGGTCCTTTTTAAAATGATTTATTGGTAGGTATTTGGGATTTTCCCATGTTGATGGTTCCGTGTCGTCATTATCTACTATGGCAAATGTTTTCTTCACAAATATGAGGGTGACACCTCTGCTGAAAACAAAGTGGGAAGATTACAGTTATCTCTGCACAGTATCACACCGTCCCTTCAGCTTCTTGAACGCTCGCAAGAAAGCACACGTCACACCTTGTCTGAGTGCGTTGGCTTGAAAATTAGAGGTGTGGATCAGATTTATAACATTCTTGGGCGCTTTCATGTGCAGCCGAGGGGAGCTGTTTTGGTTTTGCGAGTCAGGTCCGGGCAGCGTTTGGCGTCCCATCTTGTTGAAAGTGCAGCGATTCAGCGATAAACCTTTACGATTCTGCGCCTGTAAAAAAAAGAAAAAAAGAAAAAACAAACAAAAAAAACAATCTGAGGCAGATTAGAGTTACCCGTGAGATTCCTGGGTGATAAAAAATAAATTAAAAAAACTGGCAGGCTGTTTTGAATTCCTGATTTTGTAAGACTGACAACAGCTGTCTGCATGCTGTCGATGGCCGCCGTGCGCCCAGGCACCTCCGTTTGAGCCCTGACAGAATAATTGTGCTGCATTTTTATGTGACCTTTAACACTAATCCCCCCCTCTCAGTGAAAAGCCTACCGGTGTGCGTTTGCGGCAGGGTCTGACCAATTACGGCCGTTGAGGTTTTGAACATGTTTCGCTCAGATAGAGGGTGTCACACCCCCAGAGAGCTCCCTAAAACAAATCCACACACAGTAGCTTTTTCTGAGCAGCTGAGCGCTCGCACGCACAAATCCCAGGCACCCTTCCCCCCTTAAGTCCCAAACAAAAAAGGAGAGAAGTTGGATTTACTCCCCAACTGTTTTTCTGCCACTCTAAGGATTTATTGTTCATTGTTTGTGACAGCGAGTCTCTTTGTTCCCCGAGGCGCCTGTGGAGGAGGTTTTCGGGGCGGCCGGAGGACATGTGACTCCTCTGAGCGAATGAGCCGGGCTAATGTGACACTCTGGGGGTACAGGAGGCCTGCAGGGGACAGAGATTTTACATTGTTTCCCGGGAAGTTGTGTCAATCACGCACAACTCGGAGGGGACTGACTGGGGCTCGTTTATTGGAATTGGTGGGCATTGCTCGAGAGCAAAATGTGCAGTGTAACTCAAGCCAGGTTTTAGAATCTCATGAACCTGCGGGGCTGTCACCAGTCAGTTGTACTTGAGATAGGTCTGGTACTAAGTGGCAGTAGTCATAACAATATGTTGTCAAGTTGTAAGATGAGAGCTGGTGGTGACCCCTGTCGAAGCTTCATGCTGGAGTTGTGTGTCCTTCCCAGTGTTTCCCTATCACCGTCAGAATGCTGTCAGGGGATAAATGTTTGCTGAATGTTTACCAGATGATAGCGGTACATTGTTTGCTATTTTGGGAGAATGGAGACATGTATAGGGGTGTGGTGTTTCCACATTTAGCCCGTTCAGTGAATCCACTATGGCCCCGTGGCGCTTGGCCGGAGGCTTGTTATCCTGTGTTTACCTCCCGGGAACAGAGCCGGACCGCGTCCCAACTCTGAGGCTCCATCCCGTGTTGGCCGGAGATCCGATTGCATAGCTTATTTTAGTGGCACCTTGACTGCATCCTGTTAACGGAGGCCTCAAAAGGAAGATGGCAGGCACTTTGATGTAAATAGAGATTGCGCTTCCTTTTGAATCCCCTGTAAGCCCGCTTCTGAGGGTCTGGGTGAACATTTGTCATTGTTTAAGCCTGCTGCCTTTAACATGTCTCTGCCGTGTCCGAGTGTGCGCATGTGGTGGACAGTGTTCTGCACAGGCCACAGATGTGTGTGAGGGGCGCGTGTCTTTCATGTGTGACGCGATGAATAGTTAAATTGTCGGAGTTCTGCATGAGGCCATTTGTCCCGCTGCAGATGAAAACGGTTCAATCAAAGCTTTCAGGGGAAAAAAGGAAAGAAGAAAAAAAGATAGAACGGAGAAACATTTTCCACTGTAGCATGTCTTAACAGGTCATGCTCTGCTGAACACAAACCTGGTCTTTGGAATTGGCTGCGAGTTCCACTGACCGTGTTTCCTAAGGGACCGGCTTTTTCGTCCAACTCCAGCGGGCGTGCGGTGCCTTAAACTCAATCACACAGTCAGGACGCATAAAATATTGAGTTCTTAAAAGCGAATATGTTCCTGAAAATGCTCCACTTTGAGTTATATTTAATCGGTGACACACATTTTCCAAAAAAGGAGCGAGACGCGTGTCGTTTCGGGGTCCGCAAGTTCAAGCCGAGTCTGTAACGTTAAAGCTATAAAGGGGAAGAATGTGCATCCTGATTTTTTGTTCTTTATAAGCCGACCTTTGCTCTCCTTTACGCTCGACAACCCTTTAACCTTTCCACACAGAGCTCATGGACACGAGGGCGGCGCGGCCCTTCAGCTTCTCCTTCAACACCAGCGACTATCGCATCCTCCACATGGATCAGGACCAGGGCCGGCTGTACCTGGGCAGCCGGGAGTACCTGGTGGCTCTGGACATGCATAACGTCAACAAGGAGCCACTCATAGTGCGTACAAATCCCAGCAGCCAGCTTTCTTAGAACCAGTCGGCCATTTGGAATGTGTTGTAAAATCTCTAAGTGCAATGATGTTAAACATGTTTGTGACGCAGATCCACTGGCCGGCCTCCGCTAAGAGGAAGGGGGAATGTCAGATGACTGGAAAGGGTAAACAGGTGGGGTCAAGCAGTTACGTCCTCTCAAAAACCAGCTTCCAAGATGGGACATTTGAACGTCGTTTTAACTCAACTCCCGTTTTCTTCCAGGGTGAATGCGCCAACTTTGTGCGTCTGATTGAGCCCTGGAACCGCACCCACCTCTACACCTGTGGAACCGGGGCCTACCAACCCATCTGCACATTCATCAACCGAGGCTGGAGGGCAGAGGTGAAGCAGACATTTACAGGTCCCTGAGCGGGGTTTACAGCCGAGCGTGGGCCTGGCAAGCTTTGCCCTGCTAAATATTTCAGGAGAACAAAACTGGGACACTGATTTGTTTATGATTGTTCATACTCTGCCTAGTCCCGTCTTGGCAGGCTAGTTTAATGCATTCTCCTCGTCTAATCTGCCCATGCAGGACTACCTGTTTAGGCTGGTCCCTGGGTATGTGGATTCAGGGAAAGGAAAAAGTTCCTATGATCCCACGCAGGAGAGTGTTGCCGTTCTGATCAGTAAGACAGCCGTGATTTATAACTCCTCTTTAAATTCCTTATGCTCGCGAAGAGTAACAATTTCAACTCACGGCCGTCTTTTTCCCCGCGTTTGCAGATGGTAACCTGTATGCAGGCGTGCACATTGACTTCATGAGTACAGATGCCGCTCTGTTCAGGACCATGGGGGGCAGGACGGCAATAAGGACGGAGCAGTACGACTCCAGGTGGCTCAACGGTGAGTAAGTGTGGGTGTGAGGAGGTAAAACACAGCTGATTACAGGTTATGGCTCCTCTCATTTTATTTGACAAGCACTTGCCTCAATCCTCTCTCTGCTTATCTGTTTTTATCCCTTCAGAGCCGGTGTTTATTCAGATCCAACAGATCCCTGACAGCGCAGAAAAGAATGATGACAAGCTTTACTTCTTTTTCCGTGAGAAAAGTCTAGACTCCAGCGGTGGGGCGAGCCCCACCGTCATAGCCAGGGTGGGACGAGTGTGTCTGGTGAGCCCCACACACACCGAACAGTATGAAACAGCACAGTGCATATTAAACGGCGGCTGAATGCGTTTTGTTTTTTTGTAGAATGACGAGGGAGGGCAGAAGTCCCTTGTGAACCGGTGGACCACCTTCCTGAAGGCCCGTCTCATCTGTTCCGTGATCGGAGACGACGGGGTGGAGACCCGATTCGATGAACTACGTAAAGTCATTCGGAATCGAGGCCCATTTCATTTCCAGTGCAAATGCTCTGTCAACGGTGATGATAACGCGCACCTTTTCCCATTTCCTAGGGGATGTGTTTATCCAGCCAACCCAAGATGAAAGGAGCCCCATGGTGTATGCGCTGTTCACCACAGCGGGGTGAGTCATTTTTTTTTGGAAGCTTTGGTGTTTTCATACCTCACCCAACCCTTATTTTATGGCTCCAAGCAATTCTGTGGCCAATTTATACTTTCACTTGATTAGGTTGGTGCAAGCCCTTTTTGGCTGCCTCTCTCTCTTACCTTCGTCATTTTTGCTTCAGCTCTGTGTTCAAGGGCTCAGCCGTCTGCGTCTACTCAATGGCCGACATCCGTAATGTCTTTAATGGACCATTTGCCCACAAACATGGCCATAACTACCAATGGACGGAGTACACCGGCAAGATCCCCTACCCACGACCCGGAACGGTAGGTTTCAGTCATGTGACCCGCCTATTAAAGGATTTATCTCCTCTTACTGGAGTCAGCATACCCTTTTTTCTGTCCATTTTTTGTTTGTTTCCCAATCCAGTGTCCAGGAGGAACCTTCACTCCCGGCATCCGCTCCTCCAAGAACTTCTCTGACGAAGCTGTGAACTTCATCAGAGCTCATCCCCTCATGTTTCACCCCGTTTATCCTATCCACCGTCGCCCCCTGGTGGTGAGAACAGGCGTGGACTACCGCTACACTTCCCTGGTGGTGGATCAAGTGGACGCCGTGGACGGACGCTATGAGGTGCTCTTTCTAGGAACAGGTAAAAAAGATCCAAATAAATAAATAGATAAATAAGTTGGTTCTTTGAAAACCAGGAACTTGTGGGTCTTTAACATTTTTTTTTTCTTTTGTCCCCCCCTTTTAAGACCGAGGCACTGTTCAGAAAGTCATTGTTCTGCCAAAGGACCCAACAAGCATGGAGGAGCTGACTTTAGAGGAAGTGGAAGTCTTCCGGGTGCGTTTAAAAAAACAGCCGTCGCACATCGCTCTTTAGGTCAAAGGCTCAACCCTCCCTGTTTGTTTTTTCGCAGACACGAGCTCCGGTCAAAACCATGAAGATATCTTCCAAAAGGGTAAGCATGTTTTTCTGGAGGACAGGCCTCGGCGAGGACTGCACGTTTTCTCTGCGTGCGCTCGGGCAAGTTCACGCCCCCCCCCCTGAGCTGAGCGTGTTTTCCTTGCGTGTGCGCAGCAACAGCTGTACGTGTCGTCGGACGCGGGGCTGACGCAGGTGTCGCTGCACCGCTGCGGGGTCTACGGCCGGGCCTGCTCCGACTGCTGCCTGGCGCGAGACCCCTACTGCGCCTGGGACGGAGAGAGCTGCTCCGCGTTCACCCCGTCCACCAAAAGGTGAGGGGGCCCAGGGCCCCGCTGTGCGGCACGTTTTTTGATAATTTTTTTAAAGGCAGTTGAGATTTTGAACTGGGAGTCGTGTTTCAGGAGGAGCAGGAGACAGGACGTCAAGCACGGCGACCCCCTGAGGCAGTGCAGAGGGTTCAACGCCAAAGGTCGGAGGCCCCTTATTTCAAAGAGATTTCATTCATCCACACTGCTGTTTTTCAAAACAAAAAAAAAAACTGTTTTCGCCGCTTTGTCTCTGTCCTCGTGTGCAGTGGAGAAGCGCCTGAGGGAGACGGTGCAGTTTGGGGTGGAGGGCAGCAGCACCTTCCTGGAGTGTCAGCCTCGCTCCCCCCAGGCCTCCCTGAAGTGGCTCTTCCAGAGGGAGGGAAGGAGGAAAGTGGTGAGGAGAAGTCGTCCAATTTTTCTTGTGTCTTAAAAATACTGGTGTTTTCTTTCCAAGAGTCTCTGTCCAATAGAAACAAATAAAAAAGTTGCCAAGGTTTCATTTGGCCACCGTCGACCTCCAAGTCAGTCCCAGCTGGCAGATGACAGTTTGGCACATAAGCCTTTCATCAAGAGTCTTATTTTAAAGATTGACTGTTTGGTTATTTCTATTACATCGAAACCCATGTAACATATTATATTTGATATATTTTCTTGCTATATGCAACATCACTGTTTTGTGATCTCCTGAGAAAAAAAATGAATCGTTACATTTCCAAGATCAGAAAGTTGGAAGGATCTGTGTGAGGTCATTGCTTTTGAATCTGGTAAAACAATATCTAATGAACAACAGAGCACAGAAAACATGGTGGTGTGTATTCACTGGTTAAGGAAGGACATTTTACCATTGCACGCAAAATGTGACCTAACGTGGATTTCACAGCAGTGACGCATCACAAAGGGAAGGGAGGGCTCGGAATAAGGGGGGAACAGTGTTGCTTTCAAAATGATAAGAAAGTCTGGTTCCTTGGAAACGAAATGTTGAGGAATGCGGGGCGAAACCCTAACCCAAAAGCCTTTCCACGTTCCTGTGAAGAGTTCCATGCCAAAACTTCCCGTAATGCATCACTAGCTGTTATGTGCCTTAAATCATTTACAAATGTCTGGTTGCAGTGCTACTCTACTTGAGCGGTTCTGTTTAAGTGTGAAATCTTGTGCTTTCCACTGCCCTTTTTGAGAGTTTTGACAGACCATTTACTCCACGTTTGACATTTCGATCTTTATTTTGTATATTTGACATCCAAATCTCATCTTCCTGCAGCTGAACCGTGCGGGAGGGGTCCTCAAGACCAACCACGGCATCCTCCTGAAGTCACTCAACCAATCGGACGCGGGCCTCTACCACTGCCTCGCCACCGAGAACAACTTCAAGCACACCGTGGCCCGCGTGGCTCTGCGAATCCTCGATCGGGACATTGTTTTAGCGCTCACCGCCCGAGACGACGAGGAAGAGCCTAAGACCCGGCAGGCGGGGCCGCACCCCCAGTCGCCCCTCGGCTCCACACCCTTCCCGCCCGAGATCAGACTAATCAACCAGTACTGCCACTCGTACTGGGAGCAGATTAACCCCGCGCAGCAGCAGCAGCAGCAGCGCAAACGCACCAGCCGCCGGCACACAGAGAGCCAGGACCAAGGCCTCAGCTAGAGGGCCGAAGCAGGCGCCGCCCAACACTGACCCGTCCGGACTGTACGCCGGACTCTCAGTTTTGACGCTTGTTCGGTTGTCGATTCCATTTGTTGGGCAGTGCGACGCTGTCATTCTAACGTGCGAGAACATTGGCGGTTTCTGCAGGTGTGAGCCCCGTACATACATGCTGACTATAGTTTACGCTACTGATGACCACATTCGACACAATCCCGTGCATTTCTACCTATCAAAGCACAGCTTGATTACCCTGTAATGCTACTGTGGTAAAGACAGCAAAGACTGCTCAGAGGGACAGATCACGTTTCACACAAGCTTTGTGTTCTTTTGGGAACCGCTGACGGCGACCGTAGACCGCACGCATTCTCTAGTTTATGGGCTACAACATGCAAAAACACAGGTATGCTTTTCTTTTAAGTGTCTTGATGCGGAAATGTAATATATTGATTGTGAATATAATATATATGGTCGTGGTATGTTCTCTGGATTACACTCGTTGTCAAAAGTTAATAAGATAGAAATGCATATTTCGCATGCGTGTATTGTCGCCTGTTGCAAGTTGTACATTTATGCGGTCGCTCTGTTTTCCAGACTTGGTGTGTTATGGCGTTCGTAAGGTGTAATGTATTCTGTTAAGCTAATTCCAGTGGATGTTGTCGTACAATGACTCCTTTAACTGTCCCGTGCTTTAGTGGCCGACATTATGTGAGTACTGAAGATATGTGTAGCGTACAGTGTTCTTCCAGTTATGCACTTTGTTGGTGGTGGTGTTTGCGGAAATTTGGAATCTTTTTGCACAGATGTAAGAGAAAATCTTTTTTTTTTCTTTTTATGTACAATATACTATAAAAAATGGGAATGACTCTGGCTCAGATGTGGAATTGTTTGTTGGTGTCTTGTGCTGTATTTATCTATTTTTAAAAAATGTCTACAGTCTCCAAAAGTACAAGAAACCAGGTCTTTTCCTGCTGGATTCTCCACTCACCATCATGGTTATATCATGTAGATGAGTCCTGCACTGGAAATGTTAAAACAAATACATAATCACTTCAGAATGCTCCTGAATATGTCACTTCCAGTCTTTTGCTTTGAAGTACTACCTCATTTATTTACTCAAAACACAGTTTTCTCTCATGTACACATTGATTTGCTCAGCATGAACAGATCGTCACACGTAACAGCTCAAAACAGCAACTGCTCCACGCTCAGGACCCGGTAGGCCGCCCCCGCCGCGGTCAGTCGTCCCATTCATCGTCGTCATCGTCCTCGTCGCCCCCGTCTTCTTCACTGTCATCTGAAAGAGAGAGCGCGGGGGACCAGGTCAGGTACGTGTAGGCCTATGGAAGTTCGGCTCCTGTGGATGCGCAGCGCTTCCTCACACGTACCCGAGGAGTGGATGACTTTACTCCTCTTTTGCATGACCGTCATGAGGGCCCCCACGATGCCCACGCCCGAGTCCGCTGCCGCAGGGGGAGCTGGATCACAGTTCTCTGACACCTGCCATGCATCAGCATCTCAGAGTTCAAGTCGTGGAAATTTCTGACATTTCTAAATCGTTATATTTGATCACCAAATGTAATAGGAGATTGAAAAAAAAAAGGGAGAAACTGGTGCATTACTTTTCTTAGACTCTTCCCCAGCTGGATCTGTTTGAGCAGGGCCCCTCTGCCGTCCCCCCCGCCGCAGGGGGCCGGGGGGGGGGGGGAGCCCCCCGGGGGGGGGGGGGGGGGGGGGGCACCCCGGGGGGGGGGGGGGGGCGGCTGGGAGGACGGGGGCCCCCGCTGCGGCTGGCCTGGGATGGGGGGCAGGGGGCCAGAGCGACCCCTGGGAGGCGGAGGGGCCGGAGCCGTGGGACCGGGGCCCGGCGGGCGGGGCAGGGGACCCTGCCGGCCAGGGGGGGGAGGTGGGGGGGCAGCGGCTGTAAAGCAACAGGAACAGAAACCCATCCCCATCTCAGCTCAGCGTTAAAGGCCCAACAGGAAGAAACGTGCTGGAGAAAAGACGAGTCTAACCTCTGTTGACCTCCCGCTTGACCGCCTCCATGCCTCCGGACTGCTCTATGACGTTGTAAATGAGCTGAGAGGTCTTCTCATCCCGGAGCTCAGCCTCGCCAATGCCGGCCTGGGCCAGCAGCTTTGACAAATCAGGGTCAAGGTTGTTGGGGTCCCACCCCACATGGGACACATGCCTGAAGGGTCGGAGAAGGACAGAAAACACAGTTTTTTTTTTATCTGATCAGCACAGAGAGGAGAAATGGTCGAACCACGTCCTGCGGCGCGTTCGGGGATTCCGGTTCTTACTTGAATCCGCTCGGCGCCCCGATGTCTGCCTTGGAGAGTTTGGGGGCTTTTTTCTTGCTCTTGCTCTTTTTCTTCTTATCTTTGCTACTCACAGCTAAAGGAGCTGAGGGGGAAGGGATGGAGCGATAGCGAGACGACTGGATATCTGGGTTTTGGATGTCCACTGTTGCCATGTGAAACGAAGCAGGGCTTCCAGGTTGGCCTTTTAGAAGAAACAGGGAATTCCCTCAGTTTGCAGTGTTCATTTTTTAAGGCACAAGTGTGAGTTGTGAAAGCTAAATGAGGTAAAGGTACAGGGTCTACAAACCTTTTTCAGACGGGACTGCTGGCAGAGAACCTCGATCTATGGAGAAACAAAAAGAGAAAAAGACAACAGGCTTATCATTTCTGTGGCCCATGTTTGAATGGAACAAAGCTGCTATGAAGCTGTCAGAGCTACTGCAACTTACCCTTTGAAGGCAGGGGGCGCTGTTTTCTCTCTGTGTGCAACAAAGAGAAGGAACGGGGAAAAACTCTTCATATCCAGCCATTTGCAGCAAAAATATAATTGAAATAAGCCACTTCAACTGTTCTAATGCTTTTTTAAAAAGACATTATCAAGCAAAGACTTTTTTCTTTTGCTCCAGCATTTTTAAACTGGGTAAAATAAGAATTTATATTCTTTATCTTGATTAAAATAGTTCTCCATGTTTCCTTATTTTGCAAAAAACAAAAGAAAACAGAAGCTCTGTCGTTTTTACATAAACTCATGGCCAAAGCAGTTACAGTAAAGCCGTATTACTTTCACACGGGCTTTTCATGGTGTCTTGACTTGGGACCGTGAACTCACAGACCTTGACGGTTGTTTTTTTGGTTGATTTTCTCCACCACCGCGTTCATGAAGGCCTCTGCTTCCTGTTGCTCACAGAAGTTCAGTCCCACTTGACAGTCCTGTGTGATGTTACCAGTGCAGGTGATATGAAATTCACAGCAGTTGAACAACGTTTGAGGATTTAACAAAAATGACCCCGTGCACGCTGCAGGAAGAGACCAGATAAGTGTGTTTGTGCGTGTGTGTGTGTGTGCTCACATCGGCTGCAAAGGTGTGGAAGTAAGGGTGAGGTGTGGAGTAAACCAGTTGGTTGTAGAGCTCCTGCTCCCACACCAGCCTCCCCATCTGTGGAAAGAGCACAGGCCCTCGAGTCACCTGGAGTCAAAGTGGAGTGATTTTTCTGAAGGTAACTCTGGCCGGATGAAGAGATCAGATTGTCTTACCTTGAGATCGAACATGCGTATGAAGTAGGAGCGCTGAGGGTTGTCTTTGACGAAGCAGACCGCTCCAGTGTGCTGCAGGCTCCACTCGGTCGGATTGTGAGGCAGGGCCATGAACAACTGTGCGACTGCGGTGGCCACAGACTGCGCGAGAACAGACAAGGGGTGCATTTAAAACATCTCAGTGCTGATAACACGGACCAGAGACTTTTATGGCGGCCGCACATGTAAATTCACGGTTCGGTGGAGACGATTAACCATCTCCCTTGCTTTCATTTGCTCACATAGAGAGCTCAGAGTGTCATGATGCCCTTTGTTTTTCACTGCACCTGTTAAAGGCGTTAAAAGCTGGTATGCAGGTTCTGAGACGCAACCAGAAAGTTTAACTCAATGGCCGAAAGAGCATAAAGATCAAAAAGCAGCTTCCGCTCCACTGTAAGACTAAACCAAGCCATGGTGTCTAATTCTGACAGCAGAGGAAGAATTGTTTCAGCCACCATTTCCTGTTACAACTACCTCCTTCTGGGTGACCTAATGTCACTAGTTTACTGGCACTAACGCCAATACACAACACATTTTTTTGAGCATGAGAGTCTGATGTCTTATTTTTTCTTTGCTATTCAAGTAAAGCAGGTCAAAGGGATAAAAATACAGTTAGGAAAGCCCCCATCTGAGCTTGTTGTAATTCAGGATATGATGCTTAACCACCCTCAAAAAGCGGAAAGTCTCGTGGGCCGAAACATACATTTTTACTTCTATATAGCAGTTATTAGGAATAACATCCACCTCTCATATTTGGCTGCAAAATCCACTTTTAAGAAGGCAGTAACGATGAGCAAGAATAAACCCAAATGTGGGGGAAATTCCTCTCAGCTCAGTTCAAAACTTACAGCACACCTTCTGCCCAGCAGGTCCTCCAGTTTGTCACTCTCCTGTTGGCTCAGCAGAGAGCTTTGGGCGCTCTCCGCTTTACTTTTAGTTCCACGGCTCATTATCCCTTGTACGACTCTTGGACTTTTTCGACAGAAAGGGTTTATCACATTTTTAAAAAAGGCGTCCTCGCGATGCACAGTCAGAATGCTCTCTACAGTCAAGGAAGTTTCTCTTCTCTGTTCTGTGCATACATCAGCTCAAAGCAGGAAACGGACAACCACACTTCTCTAACCCCCACTTTTCTTCTTTCACTCAGGCATAGAGCACACATGAATGTGTTACTTCCATTTACAGAGAGAGGCAATGTGCTGTTGGTCGTCCCCCTGCGTTTGCACATTCAGTTTTACAGCCATGCATATGCAAAAGAGACTCGGATGTGTCAGCGTTAAAAAAGCAACATCAAATATTTATACAAAGAAAAAACAAATTTTATTGACAGAAAACAACATTCAAATACATTTGAAAATGTACAGGCTCAATAGCAAAGGGGGACAAGAATTGTCAAATAAAGATAAAGTGAGAAAAAAAAATCCATCTGTTTTTATTTCATTGTGTGAATACGTAGTTCTTCAAGATACTGAATAGTTGCAGGGACAAGCTGGAATAGCTTTTCTAACACTGGATGTCTTAAATGTACCATTGTGCTGGTTTAGCCGAACGTGACAAAAACAAAAATAAAAACCTCTGTTCTCTCTTGAGGTGACACAATAAATATAGTCTTTGGTTTGCAACTAGACTAATATACAAACTTTGTTTTCCTTGTGCAAATTGTTTCTATGTGTTGGCTCACATGATTGTCAAGAACTCTATTTAACCTCCGTGAACAGCAGCTTGGTTACCTCAGACAAAGCTTTGAAGAAGTTCACCTTTACATCTGCCATGTTTAATGACAGAAAATGTACAAAAAACAAATACAGAAAACAAAGAAATCTATTTAATTTAACTCGATTTCATAGAAAATGATATATTCATTGAAAAAGTTAATTGATTGGGGCTCTCATCGTTTAACAGTGTTGCGTGTGAGCAAAAATGTGTCTCATTCTTGATATATATTCCTCAATTATCTCTCCAAACCTGATTAGCAATATGGATAAATAGGACTAAAAGAGAAATATATCTGACAAACAAATTATTTCGACTTTATGGGCAAAAAATATTCGGGCAAGGTTTTTTTTGGGGGGAAAATTTGGCGGACAATCTTGACACTATAATCAATAGCAATAGAACTTATGCACTGATAAGTCTGATTTTGACGGTCGAAAAAGCAAAACGCGTGTCCTCTAAAATCTGGGAAGGCAGGGAAGTAGATTGGAAGTTTGTTGAGTGACTGAGCTATTCCATGGAACAGTTTGCATCCATACTCTAAAATGGGACTTCCATTTTAGTCATGCTGTTCCCGTTCATCTTTTTGCTGTCTTTCTAGACGTGACCCCTGCCAGCTTCTGTACTCTGGGCTGTGGCAGGTTGTGCTGGCTCTGGGCGCATCATTCGGTGCTTTCCCCTCGACTACAGGACCTTTGTGGTTTTTTTGTTTTTGCCAAATCCTCTGACAAAGCATTTTCCGAAGTTCAATGGTTGCAAAGGTTCCTCACTTTTATTCGTTTGTCTTTCGCTGCAACACTGTGTTGTTTCAGTTGGGATGAAAACTCAGTAGATCGGGGCAATTTGATTAAATGGAGAGTTTTTGGCTGACACTCTGTCGTACTCTGTTCTGTGACGGCAGGTAAGGCCCTGCTAGTGTCCGCCTCCACTCCGGGACTCACCGGTCACCCAGTCAAGGATGATAAATGTCATGCTCATGATCATAAAGATGAATCCCAGTGCGGCAAAGCATGCAGCCTGCAAGAGAGGGAGCAAACAAGGCCAAATATCTATGAGCTGCGCAGAAAATTGAGCTCAGAAACTGAAACCACCAACCAAACCATGTAGTATCTTTACCTGAATCTTGGGTCTTGACCTCAGGGGCTCCTGATCTTCAGGGACAATACGAATGTAGAAGATTGCAGGAAGGATGAAAATAAGACTGGGGGCGGATGTGGCTCCTGTGTGTAAGGTGTTAAAAGGCCAGAGAATTGAAATAAGTTTATTTAAGGTTGTAAGTCTGCATTTAGGGCCCAGGTTTTTTTTTTTCTTTTTCGGCGGCAACGTACCGATGATTCCAAAGATGTCGCGGATGGAAGGCACAAATATAACAAGCAGGTTCACCACGAAGATGAGGCAAAATGCAATGGCGATGTGTCTGGCCCAGTGGAAAGGCTTGTCAGGGAACAAGATCTGAAGCAAGGCCCTGCGGATCTACGAGAGAGACACAAGAATGGAGGAAAGAGGTTAACTATTTTTCACCAAACATTAAAATTCTTGTCCAAAACTATGCAAGACATCCTGTTTCATTTCTCAGCTTCCCACATTTTCAGCAGGTATTTGCTGTTGGGTTACACACAAAAGAGGCTATCATCTTTGACATGCTTTGAGATACAGTGGTTAGTGGTTTCAGGTCACAGAGACACTTTAAGAGACAGAGACTTTCAAAACAGTTGGTCAAGGAATGAAGTTAAACGTTTAATTAAAAAAAGCCTCTTCAGTCTGAGGTGAGCTAAGTTTAACCTTAGCAGAAGAATTAGAAAAACAGCTAACTCCTTTTGAGTCTGTTGTGGGAGCTGTTGGGCTTGATCTACACACTTTTATTGAAGGTTTTATTTTAATCTTAATCAAACTGAAGAGACATTTTGTTTACCATAGCTGACATCTACAGGCCGATCGATGTAATGCTTTAACCCAGCTTCCTGTTTTGGATGCTAAGCTAACCGCCTCAAGGTTTCATGATCCTACGTAAGTTTGTGTAAAAACAACAGCATCAATCATGATTTTGTACTAGGCGTCTTTCCCAGTCTCTGCAAAAACAAACTGTTTCTTTTAATTAGTCTGTTAAAGGTTGACGTTGGGTTGACCTGAAACCCATAGTTTCTAACGATTATTATTTGAAACATCAGCTGTGGGCATTCTTAACCTTCGTGGAAACAGTTAATGTATATATATATATAAAGCTTAACAAAAACCCTGAAACAGCAACACAGGTTTCATTCTGGGGGAGGCAGACGGCTGCAGTGCCTAGACGAGTTATTCTCGTTCTCTACAGTACACACATAACATATTTTTTGGGACGTTTTGGGACGCATGAGGTGAAGACCACATGTTCAAGGTCTCCTGACAAGTAAGCAAGACTCAGTGTAACGTGCATAGCCCTGACAGGAAGATGCCACCCTGCATGACCTCTCCCCTATCTAAAGCATTTCGGACAAAAATACATTTCTAAAGAGCTATTTTTCCAGCTTTTACTTGAATATACACATTTATTTTAGAGGAGATTGTCATTGCATTCGGAAAAAAAGGTCTTTAATACTTTGCATGACTAACATGTATGTTTCATTTATACTAAACTGATTACTGATGAAGTCAGTGAATCATTTCCTGACTGCAGACTATTTTATTTCAGCCTCTTATCTGTTTATCTTATTTTTTCTTCCAATTTCAATCTGAATCTTTATGTTTAAAATGATAGAAAAACGTTAAATGGATTGGATGTACGTGACATGGCTTATCTTGATTAAAAACATGTTCACAGGACTTCTTACCGGGAAGAGAACCACAGGGACAGTGAGAGTGACGGCCACCAGCACAGCCAGGCGCACGCAGAGAACCAGGACATCCAGGGGGTCCACCTTAATGTAAGTGTGCAACAGCTCCGAGTCCACATTGCCTACCCACAGAGAAGACAAACACGGTTGACATATCTCATTCACAACTTTGGGTACAAGTGGGTCATTGATTTAGAAAAAGCTCACAAAATCGGAACAGAGCGACCTCTGACTCCGAGCAGTAAAATGAGCATCTTACTGTAAAAGGTCAGGTAACCGAAGAGAGCAGTCAGCAGGTACATGACGAACATGGCCAGGATGGAGATGTTGGCAACAGTCTGCATGCGCTTCTTGGTGGCACTGTGTTACAGCCATACAAGAAAAAAGAGAATTAAAAATAAAGAAAGAGAAATAGAAAACCATCCCTGCAGAGTAAAGGTGGCAGATGATGACATTCTAACTTACTTTCGTAGTTCGGTGTAGATTGGTAGCACCTCTGGGTGGCAAACGAACGCAAACGCCAGGATTGGAATGGTGTATGCTGTCTATATGCCCAAAGAAAGCAAAGGTAAGAGAGGTTAACATCAAATCATGCCTTTACCCAACACATAAATACTGCTGGTGGTAATACCGAATATTTTTTTTTTCACCAACAAGGAAACTAATTATCAAATGCACATGACTGTATGAGAAATAAGGCACAGAAAACATGAAAATGTTTTTATCCTAACCTGAGGGTTGATGGTATACAGCTTGGCCGTACAGCAGTCTTCTACAGTGCAGTTTGTGGCATTCTGTGGTTGGTTTCCAAGTGGACATTCGATGTTGAATTTCTTGTAAATAACCTGTGGAGACACAAGTATTGTTCAATCCACGATAATAAATCAACAGATGAGCTGCTTTATATGCTGTGTGGATCTTGGCTGACTCACCGAAATAAGAAAGAACGCCATACAGGAGAGTGAGAAACCACTCGTGTAGCCAAGGTAACCTATATTGTAATTTGAATTAAAAAAAAAAAGTTTTGTTGTTATTTTATTGGCAGTAGGCACGACAAAAACAAATGGCTTTTCAACACATGATATACAGTATATGAAAAAAGGATGGAGACTGAATAACAAAAAAGGGGAAAAAGTGAGCAGAATGAGAGACATACCAAGCTGTCTCATGAGTGCTAGGGGTAGAATGACGAGGGCACTAACAATGATGATCAGGTAGTTTCCATTCAAGAACCACTCTCTGAGAGACAGTCATACAAACAGATGAAACGGATCAGTGCGCAGCAAATCATAAAAAGGAAAACACATGAGCCGCATTGTGGGACTTTTAACCAGAAGTGTTGCAGTGATACTCACCCCGTGTTCTCAGTTTTACCGAGGAAGGCCTGCATCACAAGCGGCAGCTCAGACTTTACAATGAAGAGATAGCTGGACATTGCTAAAAGAAATTGAAAAAGACAAGAAGACAATCATACCTTGAGTTGTTTTATATTTTAGACTAATTTTATTCTGTTTAAAACCTTTAACCCTTTTTACATCCTGCTCAACCATTTACTAGGGCAGATATTTTACTGGTTATACATGATATCTACAAGAGGAAGTGTGCTCTCCTAAACGGTCTGAACCCTATATTAAGCATTATTTTAGTAAATTTCACAGTTTCAACATAGTCACCCCAACTATTTGTTAGAAAAACACTGACTCTGGGTGTTATTGTTCCAAAACAATTAAAAAAATATGCAAGGAAATATCAAGGTGTAGTAGTGTAGATGTTAAAGGTTTAATGGAAGGTGGGGGAATCATGGCGTTACCTCCTATATTGTGCACTGTTATAATGCTGCCAGCCAGCATCTTTCCTGGATGGCCAAAAGCACGGTTCCCAAGCTGCTCATACGCCCGTATGCCTGAAGAACAAGCGGGCACTATTATGGATACTGTATACGAGCATGTGACAAGTCATGTGCTTGCGATTTATCTGTGTCTCACCTACAACTCCGGCGCTTTTGAGCAGGAGATGGATTGAATATGCCGACAGTATTGCAATGAATACTAACAGGATTCTGAAACAAAAAAAGAGGGAAATCTGCTCTGAAACTGCATTCAGTCAACAGGATGAAAGAGCTCAGACAACGATCCGCCCCTGTACAATTATTGCTGTTGCTGTCTCTGTTGTTTTCTTTTCCCTCCCACACATGAGGTTGTGGCTTTGGAGTCCCCCTCCACCTCCCTCCCCCCAGCACAGCACCAATCCAACCAGGCGTTGTCCTGGATCTGATCACATGGCTCTATATTTAAACCACTTAAATCTGATTTAGAGGAGCTACGTGTGCATGAGCTCTAATGTACATTCTGACAGATCAGGGCTCGGACAGTAGCAGCTGTCCGTAACTGTACGCGTAACACTGATTGCGTGCCGCCCGTAGCCCAAATAGGCCCAGCAAAAGAAACAGGGCGACTAAAAGAAGGTGCTCAAACACAAACACAGTGAGAGTCACATGACCCACGCACACGCAGGCCCATTTCTGTCCTCACACATTAACATGTTTATTCAATCCGTGTGTCCGCTTTTCCACAAATACTAACCCCATTTAACTGCATCAATCACTGACACCTTCGCTAAGCTGTAAAGAGTGTTTGAAAAGTGTTTAAGTGTATTAAGAGCTTTATGAAGGATCTATGAAGCTAGGACACATAAGTAATAGCATCTGTACAACGTTGTAAAATCTGAGCAAAATCAACAATAGTAAGCAAATGACATAGATATAGGCAAAACCTTAGAAGGATTATCTGAAAACAAGCAAAAAACAAAAAGTTAATAAAAAGGCCTACAGGCTGCCTTTAAAAGAAGTGAGGACAATAAAAAAAGTACTTCAATTTGTGGAAACTTCATGCGTGTCTCTCTGTGATTCATGAACTTCACCTACACTCACATGACTCAGAACCCAACTCCGATTTTGTGGTCTGCAGGAGATTGAAGGCATTAGGCTTTACTCAAAACTAAATACGTGTCACAAGAGGCTGGGGTGAAACAAAAAAAAACAAAAAACAAAAGTGTGCAGTTTGCTCAAGACCTGAGCTATGCGCAAATACGGTCACCTCCAAACATCCACAAGACTTTGAAAATTGGAACGGTTTTCCGGCTGTATTTGGCTCACATACTCACATAAAAAGGACAATTCCGGTGTTGGACATGGCATAAGCCAATCCCAGAATTCCGCTGCCCATAATGGCGTTACTGAGGTTAAAGATGGACATGCCGAATGAAGTCTTTCCCTCAAACTGCAACAAAAGAACATACCATTGTGTTCAGAAAGAATATTTACCATATTTAACTCTTTTTCTCCAAATATAAGAAAAAAAAGAAAAAGGAAGAAAAAAACCCCACGTCTGTGAAGTGAACTTCTTTCTTGGCTCCGGTTTTATGTGGGAGGAACTCCTCGTGTTCTGCCAAAGCGTCGAGCCCATCAAACCTAAGATGGAAGAACGTTCACGGTGGCAAAAAGGAGCACTTTAAAAAGCTGAGTTCAAATAAATTACAAAAAACTTTTTATTAATTCAGCTCATTTCATTACTAATGACATCCACAGTTGACATCACTCATCCAGATTCTTACCCATCATCCCTGCTGTGTCCGTTTATCTTCTGAAGTTCCATTGTGGCTGCTGTGTTTGTTCTGCTTTTACTGAAGACTGGGACACTCCTCTTTCACTTCTTGAAATGACTGAAAGTAGAAAGGACAGAGGTGTTTTACTTAGAATGCACTTAAGCTGTAAAACATGAGACATTATGCAGTGGAGTGCTTGGCCTTAGCTGGAATGCTGCTCTCAGAGCCAACCTGCAAACGCATAATGCATTCAATCCTGCCAACTTTTTACCTTCGACCCAATAGAAGTCTAACATTATATGTTGCTTCTGTGTGAATCAACTTTTCTTTGATCTGTCCTAACTTTATATGGTAGAGACATTATCTCAGAGTGGAGGTTCCAGGAAAATGAGGCGGAACGGGAACAGATTCCCAATACAAGAAGCACATACCAATGTAACAGACTTGGAAAGATGTTTGATGACGTCCCAGTTGGTTATGGATGGACTTGTCATTTTCTACTTAAGAAGGAGCTGCGGGATTTCAAGTAACACAGAATAACCCAATACCAGCGTTAAATGCCTCTCAGTTGCGATAGGGCAAACTTATTTTTAAAGTCTGTGGCAATTTTCCCCATTTGCCAAAATCAACAACGCTGTTTTTCTGTCGTTTAGAGCTGTACTCCCTTTCTCATAAAGGCAAAAAAAAAAAAAAAAGTATGGAGAATTCGAAACCCGGCTTTTCAGCCTCAAACTTAAAGTCCCTGAACAATGGATGCTTCTTTTTTTTTAGAATGAATGAGCAGAAACTTGGGGGAAAAGTGTCAAATGTTTGTTGTTGTGATTTGCCGTGGCCAACACAGAGCTGGCAGGGACACACCTCTGGAATGAGCAGAGGTCTGTGCTCCGGCCGCAGGGGTCATGGGATACGTCCACTCTCTGTGGGTCAAACAGCCCTCCGGATTTTCTCATCTGACCTCTAAGGACACTCTTGCTCAAGACTTTGCCATGCCCCTCGGAGTTTCACACAAAACTGGAACGCTCAGCGGGCCCGCTGACGTACAATAATCCATACAACTTGGCGACTGATAGCAGCGGGCAACAGAGATAAACAAAGGGCTCCTGTGTAAATGCTGCTATTTAGACTAAATACAGAGTAGCCTTTTCCCTGCACGCTAGCCGCAGGTCAAGTTTGGTTTGAGTTTTTTTTTTCTTTTCAGCTCCACACCCGACAACTTTCCCATGGCTCACATCCAACACATACAGGCAACAAATCAGAGACAAAATGTCAGGAGCAGTTTGTAATTTGAGATTATTATCCCACCAATAGAAATTGTGATGGACGACGTATGCTCAAACAGCAGAAGTCACATTTTGCCACTTCCCGGCTTTGCAATTTAAGAGAAAGGAAGTGGTGTGTCTGACAAAATATAACAAACCAGGTTAGTGTGGAACTTGATCCAACTTAAGTGTTTCTTTGGCCAAAGGATAGGAAAAAGTGGGGGGGTAGCAAAAAAAAAAAAGAGGAAAAAATGCACCCTTGTTCTTTCCATCCATTTATACACCCAAGTGTACCCTGAATGACCCTTTAACAAATTCACAGGGTTGCAGTTTAAGACACATTCCGACAAGTAGTCAAATAACCTACATCTACATCTTTTCAGTGAACTCGGCTTTTGAAGCAAACCTGCATAAGGCATTCTTTTCTCTACTATCAGGCAGTGCGCACCACATGGCTTTTGTCTGACGCAAGACCAACACACTATTGACAGTTAGCCCTTCCCTTCTTTTCCCTGCCATCTATGAGAGTGGCTGATCTAAATAACACACAATCTGCAGGCTACTCACCGTGCCGATTGACAGAGTCTTCCTCGGGAGCTGACAATAGTTCAAATTCCTTCAAATTTGAAGACTACCAATGTTTATATATAGGTCTTGCTCTTGAGTCTCTCCAAAGCTCCTTGGTAGTAAAGAGAGGAGAGAGTGAGAGGGATTAGAGACTGGGACTGAGAGCAGAGCAGGAAATGGGAACACCCATAGTTAACCCTTTGTTAAACCGCCCACAGGTGTTGTGAGAGTTGTAAAGTCGCCATAGAGATCCTGTCACCAGGTGTCTGCGCGGAATAAGGTGCCAACAGTAGCACCTATACAATGGGTAAAGAACTACCAGTCGTGTTCAAAGGCAGTTTATACTCCAAGGGTAAGGATTATCCCAGCAGCCCAATCACAGAGGTTCAGTTCTGACTAAAGACTAAAGATGTCAATATGGACTCGGCAAGCAGAACAGACAGAAGGGAGAAGCGGATGTCGTCTAAGGTGGGCAGTTTGCATCCTGCCGGTAGCCATAGTGATGGTAATTAGCTTAGGAGATAAGTGCTTTTTCAGGGTTGCTCACATGTGACCGTGCTTAAGAGTTGTGTGGGCCTGACTGAAAACAAACCCTAAGAGCTGAGCGAACACATAACAGCAGGGCTCAGGGAGCATTCGACACAAATCCAGGACATGAGCCATTCTATCACTGTGAGAAGACATCCCTGCATGTTTACAGAAGATACAGTGCACGCTACTAACTACACGATTAAAAACAATGCGTATCCCCCCCCCATTCTGTGCCGATTAGAATTTAAGAAAATGGGATAAGTAGAAGTCAAATGCCATTAGGGAGACACAACATTTCAGTTGGCTGATAAGTTTGACACAGCTGAGACACCCAGGAGACACCCTTATTCTCTTTATCTCCTTCTACCACAAATCCTTCTTCTGCGAACTGGACTTTTCAGTTGGAGATTGTATCTTGTGCCGGTCAGCACAATTGACTTGATCTTTTTTTTAATGTTGATCTCTTGAGTTTCATTTTTCTTTCAGAGACTCATAAGAGAAGTACAAGAAAACAACACATGTTCCTTTTGTTGCAAAACTTTTAAATATGTTAAACGGCTTGTAAGTGACATATCAGATTGAGAGTCTGCACAGATGGGGAATCTCATACATAATTCAAAAAGACTCTGTCTGACCATTCTGAACAGATGCTGGTAGCAGTTTAACAAACTCAGAATTATCAGGGAAACCGTGTCGTACACCACAGATTTGATCCCCATACGGTTGTTCACAAGCCATTTTGCATGACAAACCAGAAACAACTACTCTCTTCTCCTTTTTTTCCTTGTATATTGGCTGTCAAGATCCCCCAGTCGAGCGCTTTAAAACATGCCTGTGCTGCATATTACTGCCATTATGTCAGACCAACAGCACGTGAGGAAATAATTCTTAGTTTTTCAAAGGTTTTAGCAAAAATCCAGAGAAAAAACTTGGACATAACCTTTCCATCTACTTCTCGATCAATGCTGTTGTAATTCCCCCTTTCCTTTTTGACCCCCCTTTATAAATGTAAAACTGTTACAGAATGTGTGCTGGCTCGTGGAGCACAGGCCTTCCATTGGTACTCACCCCTCTAAACAGTCAGCTGGATGGGGGTCTTCAGTCCAAACAAATGTGACAGGGGGAAGAAAAAAAGTTCTAACTATTTGACTCGTTTTTCTTCAGCAAAAGCTGCTTTTCACAGGGTCTTAAAGTTACCTCACTCTATCGCCAGCTGTGAGAGAGACAGAGACACGAGGGCAGCAGCGTTTGAGCGCGTAAAGGAAGTTTCCTGCCTTGTCTCACATCGTCACTGCCCATGCTCTCATTTTTCACAGGGCCTCGTGTCAAGCTCTGCTGCTTTCCTCTGGTCTACATTACAATCAAGTTACATAGATATTTGATCACTGCCAGCATTTCTTTACTTCCTTTTTTTTTGTTAAATCACTGGAACCTTTTTTAAACATTTGGCTCTTCAACTGAGAGTAGAGAAATGAAACCTGCATTCTACAAAGAGACTCTTTGCTAAGCAGCTGTGACTGCATAGCTGGTAGTGTACAAAAAAAGGCAATGATGCAGTGGAAAGTTACATTTTCTGTCACTGCTCTCTAGTCTTGGCTGCTCTCAAACGCTGACACCTAGTGGGAGAAAAACAGCTTTGCAAGCTAGTGAGACCATGCCATTTGTAAGCATCTGGACACAGCTGCACTTCCATACATAAAGCTTCATTCTAACCTGCTGTTTCACTGCCTTTCTTCTGTAAATTGTACCTAGAGAGTTGATGAGAAATGAGATGAAAACTCAAAAGGTCCTGAAAGTAACACGTTCCACCACAGCCGAATGTGAAATGATTTCAAAAGGTTCGTGTGGTAGGTTCAGAAACAATTGAAGGGCAGACTCATAAAATTAGAAAACTAATACCATTTATTATTGAATAAAAGAAAAGCGACATAACAAAGACTAAAATATGCTACATGAAGAAAAAAAAGTTTAAAGAAACAAGTCATTTGGCCCTCTCAACCCACGCGAAGAAGTTACATCGAGCATCGGGGTTAGAGGCGTGTCCCTGAGGACGTGCGCACACAAAGAACTGTTTGCCCATGTTTGGCCCCTCCTTTTTCACAGTGCGGAGCACACAGGGCTCCCCGTGGACCTTACAGCAGGGGGCAGGCGGTGGACCACGGAGCACCGACTTCCAGAACCCCAACGCTCCCCCTTTGGCTGCGTCCGATTGGCCCGAAGCGGCCGGAAGGGTTGCATGCTTCGGCTTGGCCGCCTTGTCTGTTTCCTCGGCCGTGCTGCTGGTACTCAGCTGGGATGAACCGTCTAAAGCCAGCTGGGTATCTTCAGCTGGCCTCCTGGCTGCGGATGCCTTTTGGTCGCCGAGCGACGAGGCGACTTCATCCAGACCGTTGGCCTTTCCACTCGACTGGACCCCTGCGGGTTTGGGTTTGAAGAAGGAGAGCAGGTTTCCCCGAGGCTTTAAAGAAGTATTCACCGTCTTGGTCTTTTTCCCCTTGGGAGCGGCGGAGTCGGACGCCAACGAGCGTTTCTTAGCGGGGATGTCATCGGTTCCAAACGGGTTTAGATTCTCCCTCCTTTCCTCTTCTTCTTGAGATCCTGGCAAGGCGGCCTTTTGCTCAGACCCGGTTGGCTTTTGGTCCACTTTGACGAGGAAGCGGGAGAGTTTCTGCTGCCGCCCGGCAAACTCGGGCAGGTAGCGGGTGCAGAGAGGGGGGGGCTTGGAGCTGGGGAGGGGAGAGCAGCTCAGCTTCCCCCACACAGGACAGTGGTCTGACCCCTCCACCTCCGGCATGATGTCCGCCCCCACGAACTGCTCCCTGGCCAGCCGGTGGTCCGCGAATATGTAGTCGATGCGGGTGCCGTAGTTCGTCTGACGCGCTCCGGTGAGGGTGGACCAGCACGTGAAGGCGTTAGCGCGAGCTGGGTGGAAATAGCGAAAGGTGTCTACAAATTTCCCAGAGGAGGGGGGATCGGGATCCACCGCCTCGGAGTCTGCATCGGGCTGCTCTCCGCGGTCGTCTTGTTCTCGTCCACTGGAGTGTAAAAATCTGTCGAGCCATTTTCTACCCGGGTTTTCATCAAAATCATCCTGCGTGATGGAAAATAAGGGAGTTTTGTAAATACAGCATGGCATTTTTTCTTAAACATATCTTCTAATTTTATGTAAGAGTATATTTGGGCTGAAACCTCCCTCTGGAAAAAAAAACCCTTTCATTTGGCTGTTCCTTGAAAATAAAGCTAGAGCAAACTTTGCAATTGCAAAATTCACCTTCTTCACATTTTCCTTTTGCATATGAAAATTGAGCCAAAAGCAAAAAGATGTTTGGTAATTCTACATTCCTCTAACACTTGCCGAATGTCACTGGTTGCAGACTTGCAATTTATGCTAATTGGGATGGCTTGTCTTTGCAAAAAAATACAAAATAAAAAAATTGCCAAAGAATGGGTCTAATACTTATACACCACCATTAACGCATCTTTGCAAAGCAGAAAGTGTGTGGGGGTTCTTTTAAAATTCTGTATCTGCTTGACCTGGTCTTACGACTGTTTTTTGGGAACCAAATGTGCAAAACCTGCTTTTGCAGCATTTGTGCTAAGTGCCATGTTTAATTTGTAGCCATGACATTAGTCGAAATGGCTGCACCTCTGATAGTGAAAATGTAAAAATATGAAATACTGAACTATCACACTAATGAAAAAAGTCCAAAGGCATACTTTATCTCTGTACTTACAATATCACAGGGGTCACAGTGGTCTATTGGCCGATGAGAAGTATTTACATCGCCTAAAACGATCACATGGCTGGAAAACAGGGAAGAATCAACTATTAATCCACTATTGATACAAATTTTGGAATACAGACAGCACCTGGGTGCATGACATTTTTAAAAATAGATTATGTTTGCGATAAAAAACAGGATACACCTGCCCCTGTAATTCAGGCTGTGGAAACATTTCAGAGTGCTCACCTCCCATCCTTAAGTATGGCTTCGGCCCGAGACTGAAGCAGCTTGTAGAACTGAAGCTTGAACTGCTTTCGCTCTGGCTTTTCGGGGTCGGCCCGAGGACAGTACACATTAATAACAGCAATGGTTTTCTCTTTGTCCTGACACCTGTGAGGGCCAAACAAGATAAAAAAGTTTTACAAAATGAAGGGCACAGCTAATAACTCACCTATTTTAAATGATTCTGTGATGTTTTGACAACCAGACGCGCTGTCTCATAATTAAATGATTGTACGATTATAGAACATACACAATTGCAAAGTAGTGTTATTTGTTCCTACATGACTTTGTGCTGTGTGATCACGGCTCGCCCTTCATTGTCCAAAAGCTGCAGCTCCTCACTTGAAAACTCGGCGAGGTCCCCATAGCATCCCACAGCAGCTTCATGGTTGGTCAGCAGACCGGTGAGACCCTCTTCAGCAGCAAATGGTGTGGCATTGTCCTTACAGTAAGTGGCAACCCCTGTACACACCAGGGAGAGGACGTGATGAGGTTTGCACTGTGCAGTATTTGTGATGCAAAGGTGTTAATAATTTAACTATAAAATATTTAGGTAAAAAATGGCAACCCTTTTTTTTCAAGAAGAGCATAGTTTCCTATCACCGGGATCGCCTTGTGTAATACATAGTAATTTGAGAAAAAAAACTCAACCAAAACAACCGCCATGAATTAAATAATTAGTACACCACAATGTAATGAACCTGAATAGCCGCTGCGACTCCGACTGTAGCTAAAATAAGAGTTGTATCCGTCAACGATTGCAGTTCTTTCATCAAGCAGGTCTCCTGAGATGTAAAAAAGAGAAGTTAAACGTTTTTCGTAGTACAGCTCTTACCGGACCACGCTGAGACACAGCTGCCGCGTTTTCAAAGCTCCAGTTACAAAACACTTACTTGTCACTTTTGTCTCCTGAACACAAATAACATCCGCGTCTAGAGAATCCAGAGCCCTTTTAATGCCCAATTTAAATGTTCTTATACCGTTTATGTTCCAGGTAACGATCTTCATTGTGTATGACAGAGGGGCATCCAGTGGATAGACATAAGTACATATGTATACATGAGCCTGTATGTGTGTGCCGGAAGTCAACCGGAAGTCACAATGGGAACAAACGGAAGTCTGGTCAACACATTTATTTTCAATTCCGTTAAATTAGATAGACTATAAATAGTGGACGCGAAATTACTATTTCTGAAAAAACACCAAATGTAAAACCATTCAAATACTGTTTAAATAAGTAAAAGACACTGTTAGGTGTGACTGCGTTGCCATGTTGCAAAGCTAGAGGGGGTAAGGATGCCTTCACGTTCTCGGCGCGCATTTGACACTACCCAGTCGTGAAATGAGAGAAGCAGGTGGGAGGAAGACAGGCTGCAGTTTCCTAACTAGGGCCGGTACCTAACGTAATTACGAGTCCGCTCTTTTAGCAGTTCGTGAGGGTGGTCCGGAGGTAGTGTTTGGTGGGAGCCGGGAGCTCCATCTTTGAATAAAAACCACCGGGTGAGTACGTAGTTATGCTAGTGATGGCTGACTTTCCAGCTAATTAGCTTGTCTGATTGGACACAATTTGCGTTACGGAGAGAGTAATTCCGTCGCGTTTAAGCAGATAAATCGAATTTGAAAGCCAAGTAAGTATTAGCTACAGTTGTTTTTATACTTTTTGCATATTGCTTGTATGGTTTCATGGTTTACTGTGTTAACGCCAACGCGAAGCTACTGATGCTAGCTTGTAGATGGGATCTTGTTTCCTGACCGGCATTATCGATTTTCTCTCCTTATCACCACAGGAAGCTTCTGTTAGATAAAAGATTAGATAATATACATAGGAAAGATAATTCCCTTCGTGTTATCATAAGGCTTATGCTTTGTGATGAGGATGGTGTTTTCGGGATGACTAACAAGCGACATCATTTGGCTCCGGCGGATACCCGGCAGCCGGTGTTTCCATCTTCGGTCAAACCGGAGGGTACGAGGAAATGGGGGGAGAATCGGCCCCACCCTGTCAGTAGTCTTGGTAGAAGTAATAAAAATTCTAACCATTTAGGCGATTTTCTTTGGCAAGACAACGCCGTTGTTGTGTAGCTTAAATCGCCATTGGAACAATGTGGTGATCAGAGTGTGGTCCTCCGGGGACTTTGACCGGTAACAGCCTGTTTTCTGTTAGTCCTCGTGGTCTCAGGAATCATCCCTAATGAGCTTAAAATATCATGCTGTACCTAACAGACGAGTGGCCACGTGCCGATTGTGACTCGGGCTTAATGATAAAAATGTTTAAGGGTAAAGCTTTTTCCTAATCAATTATCCCTGTGTTAGTTTTTGAAATTTGCTCCAGGAGTGCCAGCATAACATTTACACTAAACCTCTTAAACAGTTTATGCAACCATTTCTAATGTAACAAACTTCTCTGTGTTTTGCCTTTAGTAGTGTGGCATAATGAGGGTGAAAGAGTGAAGGAGGAAAGCACCTCATCAGAACGCTGACAGAAGTGTGGAGGCCGAGCGAGGATGCTGGAGGCCGAGGCAGAGCCGGCATGTGCAGCCGCTGAGGGGGACGGCGAGGCCGAGATGGGCAGCCGGGACCTGAAGGCTGAGGTGATGCGGCTGACTCTGGAGCTTCAAGAGGCCACGGATGAAAAGCTTCAGGCGGCCCGCTATGGACTGGTGGTACTGGAGGAAAGCTCTGCCCTAAAGGTGAAACACAGACATCTGGAAGAGGAGCATGAAGCCTTGAAATTGGAGCTACAGCAGCTCAAAGAGGTAGGAACATCTTGGGCCTTGTGGCTATTTTAAAAGACATATTTTTTTATTTTTGCATGTAGACATATAAGATAGACTTCCCTTAACTTCAGTATGTGGGTTTTCCTGTTAAAAACACCCCCCTGTGACTCTTTTAACTCTGCATATGTATTACTAAATTAATTATTCATTAGTGGAAGCTTTTTAATGTCATTTTGAATATGTGGTATTTATTAAGTTGATAGCTTTGATTAGTAGTATTTAGTTATACTGATGTCACTGATGTGACAGCATGGTCAGAAATGCTGTATATGACCAGCAAGTATCTATATTGAATTTATTAATGACTGTTACTCTTGCAAAAAAAAGAAGTGATGTCAAGAATGCTGGCATTTTTCATTTTCAAGTAAGAAAATAAAAACAGCTTGTTGTTATCCTGAGACCTCATAGCCATGACTCAGTGGGGCTGCAGAGCCACCTCTGCTCATGTGAGCTCAGTGATGCAGCTACAGAAAGGTTAACTCTTCAGTGTGATGGAACAGTCCCTGCTCAGTAGTTTTATTAGCTGATGAGCTGCCCTGTGGTGCTTCCTATCGTTAGACAGATTCCATTGTTGCCTCATTACTGCACACCAGCTGCTGAACTATGACATATATCTGACTGTGCACGCCTTCTTTGCATTTCGGTCATTCTTGATTCCACCACTACAATGACAGCTGTGTTCGTGAGCCGTGGGCTTATGATACAGTCAGTGATTTGGCTGCTGATCATACATCTGTGTTTTTTGTTAGAAAGTCATTAACATGGGATGATACTCATCGTCATACCCAACCATCGATGGATATTGTATGTAGCTATCAAAATCATAGTTTCTGTCTTTAGCTGATTTTAGTATTTGATGCAAAGTTTAAGGATTAATATCTATAATGGAAATAATACAGCAGTCAGCCAAAGCTCATCTAATCTTGTAATTCAAACCTTTCACTGATTTTAAGTTAACACCAGTAACTGCTGACTGTTCCAAAGCTCATTTTATATCAGCTGAAAGTTGCAGTGCCTTGTCTAAAGTATATTTTATGCGTGTAGATGGTTTGGGCCCTTATGGTGGCAATGGACCAATGTGAGAGGGGTTAAATAATTCCCATACGCAAATCTTGTCAAAGGTTACCCAGATGGGGCTTATGGTCTTGAAAATCCCTTATTTTTTCTTTCTTTCTTATATAATATAGTAATCTCATCATGTGTGCCGATTTTAGATTCAGCAATTGTTCCCCCTGTCTATATTCTTATGATAATAATAATTTAAAAAAACAATATGTAATATGTGAAATCCTATTAAATTTTAGCGATGTGCTAGAATAAAAGTAAGGTTTGGACTTTTTATAACTTTATATAATAAGCCAAAGCTCTTTATATCTGAGGGGGTGTCATGGTACAGAATTTCAGTGAGTGTTTTCATTCTTTTTCTAAAATAATCTGCTTAAACCCCATTCCATGTAATTTCACCCACACAGGCTTTGGCAGGATTTAAAGCAAAAAGAGCCTGGGATGTGAATTAGCAACATTACATAATCTTAACATAACCCGGTCCAGTTGAGCATGTTTGGTGGTTATTTAATGAAGAGTTTGCGATTCAAAATTTGCCAAGGCCTGTCAGGATGACAGACTCTAAAGCAGTGCGTTCTGGTTTGTGTGCAGCATATCAGGTATATCTCATCATGTCAGTGAGACAGAGTGAAATAAGATGGGAGCAGCTGTTCAGATTTAAGTTCAGTCAGCCATAGTGACTTTTTTATTTTTTTTCCAAATCTCCTCAGGGGATGGTTGCAGTCCAATGTCCTCTACATAAAGATATTTACCTTTGATGGCTTAGTATAGCATTAAATAATCATTACATGCTGTTTAATACTGTAACATATATATATATACAGTATATGTGTGTGTGTGTGCCCAAAGGCTTTTGCAGACACTGTGAGCAGCCAGAAGCGAGCAGCTGCTGATGGAGAGTGTCGGGAGGAGAGCCTGCTCCAGGAGACTGCCACGAAAGAGGCTGCCATGGCAACCCGCCTGGAGGAAGTTCAGGCAGAGCTCAAACAAGCACGCCTTGCTCTGAGCAACGCCCACGCGGAGATCGATAGACTGGGCGTCGTCTCCACCCAGTTAAAGAAGGTACAGCGTTTGTTTTCAAGCCCCATATCCTTCTAAAAAATATTACAATTAATACTGAGACATTATGAGGGCCAAATGGGCCCCACTCCCAAAACAAAATGAACAGATTTCCAATAAAAGGTTTTGTGCTCTTGGTTGTTTTAATCAGGAGTGTGAGTGTCTGGATGCAGAGAAAGGCCATATGAGGGATGAAATGAAGGAATACAAAGTACGTGAGCTGCGCCAGTTGCAGGACAACGGCGAGCTGGAAGAAGAGAACACATCTTTGCAGAAGCAAGTGTCTGTGCTCAAGGAAAACCAGGTAGGTTGTCACATTCGTCTCTGAGCTTCACCCACTGAGTGGCCTCATGTGTTCATACAAACATTGTACCAGACTATTTCCTCATCAGTACATTTTACAGGGTTGTAAAAGAGAGGGTTTTATTTCAGGAAGAAATCCTCTAATCTACTTCATATCATAATGTTTATGTTATGAATGATTGCTCCAGAGGAACAACATTTTTTTTCATGAAATGGTCCGATTAGTTTGTACAAACAGACCATCTCAGTGATTTTTACAACTGTTGTCTTTCCTGAAACAGCATGTCCGATTAGAATCGCACAGGCTGCCATATTAAGTAATGCCAGGCTGCTTTAGAGCGCAAAGTCGGCCTGATGTTTAAACAACTCTGACAAGTTTGTCCCTGGCTGGGTCTAAATTTAGCAGCCATTTGTTTGTGAAGGACCTTTGAGTTGAGGTTTTTGATAAACTCAAGGCCTCTTTTGATGGGAAACCACTTTCAAAGTGTTATGCAAATACCAGCTTGACATTCATTTCCCCAAAGAATGACACTCCAGTTACACTAATCTTTGACAATGGATGCGTGTCTTTCTACTTTATACATTCCAAATGTAACTCCCGGACATGTTTAAAACAAACAAAAAAATATGAATAATTTTTTAAGCTTTCTGCCTTTGATTTAGATTATTTATGTACATTCTGGAAATCTGCAGCAGTTCTGCAGGTATAACACTTTAATTGAAAAGTTGTGTGCAGGTTTGGCCAAACTCCATCTTCCTAGGCTGCTGCGTTTCATGCAGCATGGTGCAATGTTGCTTGGAAAAAAGGAAAAAAAAGAATAAAACAGTTTTGTGCCTCCCGTTTACATTTCAGGTTGAGTTTGAATCAATCAAGCTGGAGCTGAGCCAAAAGAACGAGGAGCAGGAGGAGCTACGGGGCCAGCTGGACGAGGCGGCCAGGCTGAGGGAGATCGCAGAGAGGCAGCTGGATGAGGCCCTTGAGGCCCTGAATGAGGAGAGGGAGCAGAAGAACAGTCTGCGTAGAGAGCTCTCTGCCTTGACCCTTAACCCCTTCGACTCTGTGGGCAACCTGGAGCTCCACTTGGAGCAGCTGGATGACAGCCAGGTGGAGGGTCAGGGCGGAGAGGGCGAGGAAGAGAACCAGGACAGCGGTTACAACAACGGTCCCGGCTCTGCTCCCGGCTCCGCTCGCCCTCCTCACCCAGGCGGCCCCAAAAGCAATGGCCTCATCCAGCGCTTCTCCACGCCGCGCAACAGCGACGTCTTCCTGCGCGCCCCCGCCTCGGGGCTGGTGTCGGACCTGCTGAGTGAGCTCCACTTTTCAGACAGCCAGAAGCTGAAACAGCAGCTCCTGCAGGTAGCTAAACGCTTTCCAATGAGGGGGTAAAAGCACCAAACAGTCACACTCCGTAACGTCGAGATGTGGAGGATAACTTCAAAAATTAGGAGTACATTTGCTTCGATTAGATGCTGGTCGCATGATTTAAAACGGTTTTGATAAAGGTCGGTAATGATGTGAACATTAACTTCATTTAGTGGTGTTACAGTCTTCAAATAGGGCAGCAGCAACTTGTTTGGATTCAGCTTATGCAGCATTTTTCCCAGAACTAGTTAGGAAACTGTTTATTAAATTTATTTTTTTTGTTTGTTTTTTGTCCAGGGACAAAATCAATGCACTGTAGTGTTCTAGATAGATGCTTTGAGGTCCAGGCATGGAGGTGCAAGTGGTAACAATTTGGTGGAGACCTCTGCCTTTTTTAAATTGATCTTCTTCTGAACTTATTGGGTCAATCTGCATTTGGTGCTGAACTGAGAGATAACTGGACTTATGAGAGCGAAACGCTTATTAAGTGTATGATTCAAATCTGTAGAACAGCGTTTATTTTTAAATGAAACCATCAGTTCTATTCAGGTGACATTTAAACACCGTCACCTCAATTCAAAAGGTTCTTACGCAACCTGGGCTGTGCGCCTAAGCTGTTAACCGGGATCTCTGCCACTTCCTGCTCTCAAACACTTCCTCTTTGTGTTGTTGAAACGGTAATATATATATATATATTTTATTTTTTGGATAATCCCTGCCTCTCCGAGCAGGTTGCTCTGTCCCGGCAGGGTGTCACAGCCTCTTTAGGAAATTAAGAATGTCTTGAAGTGCCATTTGTCTTTGTCTGAGGGAATATATTATGTATGATGCACTTAAGTTGGGGGTTGGGTATGAAAGCTCCTACTTAGCAGATGTTTGGACCGCAGACCTGAAAGAGGTCACATGAAATATGCATAGAAGCACGGCGGGATGGGTGAGGAATTTTAGTCACAGTGCCGCTGACTCCTCATTGATCGTATTGAAACGAGTCAATCATCACCGTCACCTTTGTTGTCTGGATTGGAACAAAAAGGGACGACTTGTATAATGGCTTATGTGTGCGTGTTTCCAGGCAGAGCGAGAGAAGTCCGGTCTGGCCAGCAAAGTGGAGGAACTCCAGATGCAGCTGGTCATGTCCAAACAGGCTCTCAGCCAGCAACAAGACAAGGTGGGCTCCCTCACCCAGCAGCTGGAGGCCGTGCACAGCAGCCGCCGTCAGAGCCAGGAAGAGGAGGGCGGCGGGGATGACGAGGCAGAACCAGGAGAGGACGCAGTCTTCGACTACGAGGTGGACACCAAGAGCAAGGAGGTGCTGGAGGCCCGAATGCGCGCCGCCAGCGAAGAGCTCCTGAAGCTGCGGGACGAGCTGTCTCAGGCGGGCGCCCGGTACAACACGCTGGAGCAGAGGTACAAGCAGGAGAAGGACCGCTGGAGAGCCGAGGCCCAGGAGCTGGCCGATAAAATCCGCCAGTGCATCAAGTCCAGCAAGCAGGACCAGGAGCGCATCACGGAGCTGGAGAAGGAGATCGGAGCCACACGGAAAGTGGCCACGGACTCCGAGGGCCACCTGAGCGTCGCCCAAGAGGAGCTGCTGGCCTTCTCCGAGGAGCTGTCCAACCTTTACCACCACATCTGCGTGTGCAACAACCTGACGCCCAAGCGGGTCACCCTGGACTATTACAGGGACGGCGCCCGGGCGAGCAGCGCCCGCAGGTCGCACCACGCTTTCCCGCAGAGCAAGGCGCGGGCCAACGAAATGTTCATCTCCAAGGCCGCCGCGCTGCAGTTCATGGGGGAGGTGGACAGCGCCGGAGCCAGCGGAGACTCCCCCACCTGCCCCGGGTCGCCCACCCTGGACTTCAGGGACCCGTCCAACGTCCGCAACTTGGTCGCCGTCATCCGCTGCCAGATCAAACACCTCCGGGTAAGAGGGCTCTTCAGCTGGCACCCCAGGCCTGCTGGTCCAGCCCGATTAGCATAGCATGTTGTCGTTACATAAACGTCGTCCTGGAGGCAGAAAGGCAGGCTTTTATTCTGGATTAAAGCTTTTTGTCCCTGAAAGTTTTCGCTGAGCTTAACTCTCCGCTCAGACCGCTAATGTTCTTGAGAAACTCACGCTGCTGCACGAAATCCAGCGCGTGCCGCAGATCGGCCGACACGTGCATCTTTTGAGCTGGTTTTGAATAGATTGGATTATCAGAGGGTCAGAGTTCCACTGTAACAGAATCCTCAGAAGAAACGGCATCAGCCCTGACAAAATGTGGTTTTATATGTCAAAGAACACGGTACCTGACCACCTGGGCCCAAATTTCAGTTGACTTGACTTCAGTCCTGTTCCCTTTAGCCTACTAATGGCCTTTGTGCTCCTCAGGTGGCCGTGGACCTCTGCCGTCAGAGGGGCGCCATGCCGTACTCCGGCCTCAGCAGTAGCGGAGAATCGGAGCGGGATGCGGAAAGCCTCCTGGAAGAAGTCCTGAAACTGAAGTCTCTTCTCAGCACCAAGAGAGAGCAGATTGCCACCCTCAGAACTGTCCTGAAGGCTAACAAACAGGTAGGTGGCAGAAGGCCGAAACGCAGCCGCACAACTGAAGGTGTTGCTTTGCGTGGACAGGACGCAGATGCACATGACTCATTCCTAACGAGCCACGAGGTGTGACTGCTCCAGAATATTTAGGATCTGCAGCTAAGAGGCGGGCCCTTAAAAAACACTAATCTTAACAGGAACACTTCAGTGCGAGTCTGCCACTCCGTCTCGTTTTGTTGAATTATTAAAGCGTTTCATTATCACGTTTTAGTCTTGGCAGGATCCGTGTTTGTCCTCCGACTTTTAAAGAATTCTGTCAAACGCAGCTCTGTATATCCGTTTTAAGAGGAACCTCAAAACGAGTAGGCTCACAAATGAGGAAATTAAATCTTCCTTCAGTTTTATTATTTTTTCTTTATTTTTTACATTTTGTTAAAAAAAAGGTTTTTATTTTGTTAGCCCATTCAGATCATCTGAATAGTGTAAAAGTCCGAGGTCTTGGCGGTGCATAAAGGGGTCAAAATGCCCAGTGTTGGTAAGGGTCATTATCCCAATAAGTCATGAGTATTATTCCTGCATAATCTCAGAAGGAGCCCGGCGGCTGACCCGTCTCATCCGTGTTTTGTCTGGACGTCCCCTTCGCCTAAGCGGTCCTGCAGCGGGCCGCGTCGTTAGGAGGTCGGTCGCTCCCTCCCCCCCACCCCCCCACCTCAAGCACTACGTGACCCGCTTCTGTCATTCCCTAAGCCGTCAGTCACTCGCAGACACGCTCAAGGTGATCTCTCTGTGAGGCTGGACCAGCCTGAGGGCTGGGGATGAGTTGGCGGCCTGTCGGCGGCTCTGATGTAATCTATTTACATGCCAGACTGTTAAAGTGATTAGGGTATTTGAATAGCAGATATGTGGACGTTAGTCCTGCAGACTCGGCTCAGAACGCCTGATATTTTGTGTTCAAACCAGATAGTCTTGGTTTATTTTGTGTTTTCTTATCAAAACAATGATTTTATTTACCCCCCCCTTGTGATCCTTGTGCTGAGCAATGATGATTGGGACTTTTTTGTCGGCTCATCCTCGAGGTTTCTCGTTAGGAACTGATGTCTTTGTTTGCATAACAGTCGTGCCTGGTAACATGCCTTTCCTATCTCACCGTGAAAGCAAATGATATTTTGCAGACCGCCGAGTTGGCGCTGTCCAATTTGAAAACCAAGTATGAGACGGAGAAGAGCCTGGTGTCGGAGACCATGATGAAACTCCGGAATGAGCTCAAGGCTCTGAAAGAGGACGCCGCCACCTTCTCATCTCTGAGAGTCATGTTTGCCAGTCGGTAAGATCCTCTTTTCTTTTTCTTTTTTTTTGCCCCCACCCCCTTTTTTTTATGATTCCCATCCAGTGGCGTTAGCCACCTTTGTGGTCAGTATTGCGGCACAGCATTTGCTGTCACCCGCGTAATAAGCTTACCGTGCGCAGTACACCCCGTGGAACATCCACCAGTTCACGTGAAGATTATGAGCCACATGCTCGGCCCCGTGCTGAAGGGGGACGGAGGTAAGGACAGATTTGTCCCATGGAGCCAGGTCACCTTTGGGAGGGAGACGTCTAATAAGTTTGCATGCAATGGGTGGAATATTGGTGCAATGAGAGCAAAGACATCAAAGTCACTAATCCCCTGTCTTTACTGTTTGCAGTGCCTTTGTATTGAATAATATGAAATAATTCATTTTATTTTCATTTTGTTTTTCTTTACTAAAGCTCCAAAGAAGATTCTTGAACAGATCTTTGTAGATAATTACAAGCTAGCATTTGGGATATTCCTAAGAAGGATTGGAAACACTGCTGCTGCCTGTTGCACCAGCCTAAAGATTATAGCGTTTAAAAAAAGAGGAGAGGTGAGGGTCACATCTTACAGTGAGATGGCGCCACCAAGTGGAGAACTGGAGTATTCGCATTGCTACCCTATAGTTGCAGTACTCCACACTCCATAATCACATTTTAAGTAAGAAATGCTTGTTCTTTTGTAGCCCACAGTAGAAACTAAAGTTCTCATTGTTTTAAAATTTGCAGCTAACACACAAGAGGTCATGTTAAGCCTGATTTTTTTCTGTGTTTGTGTTTGGTTCTAACACGCTCTGGCCCGCTGGTGCATGCTTGCACGTCTTTGTCGTCCGCACGTTGCAGGTGTGACCAGTACGTCACGCAGCTGGATGAGATGCAGAGGCAGCTGGCGGCGGCCGAGGACGAGAAGAAAACCCTCAACTCCCTGCTGCGCATGGCCATCCAGCAGAAGCTGGCCCTCACCCAGCGCCTGGAGGACCTGGAGGTCCCCCAGTCCCCGCACAGCTTGAACAGCAGCCCCCGCCGCTCTCGGGCCAAGGAGCTCGCCACGAAGTCGGGCCGGGCGCCCCGCAGCCCCCGGAACAGCCCCGCCCGCCCGGCGGCCCGCAGCAGCCCGCGGGCCAGCCCGGTCCTGGGCAGCAGCGTCCCCTCCATGGCCACCCACCACCTGCGGGCCCTCACCAGAAGTCTCCACACCAGCCCCGTAAGAACCCCTCCCTCTCTCTGTCCCGACAGCTCCTCTCACACCAGCGCCCGCCCCCACAGAGGCAGGGCTCTGCCCCGGGACGCCACCTTCATTAGAAGCCGCAGCGTCGGCGGCTTTTTTAACGAAAGGCCCGGCTCTCTGCGTAAAAACCCCGCCGGTTCTTTCAGCGGCGGGGCAGAGTTTACAGCAAACGCAAGAGATCCGAAAAGGGGCGCTCCGGGCCGGCGGGCGTCCGTCCCCCTGCGCCAGGACACCTTCATCACCGCCCCCGCGGCGCCGGTCTCGTCCTCATCCGCTGATAGTCTAACCTCTGCTAACGCTTTGCGTGTGTGTCCTAACACGTCGCCGGCGCGGGCCGACGGCCAGCACAAACCTGGCGCCAAACCCCACTGGGACGCGTCAGTGAGGAGGAAACAGCTGACGCGCAGGTCTCAGTCTGTACAGGCGGCGGCTGCATGCTCTCACACGCCCCCGCCCAGCACTAACACGGCGCTCTGCGTTCACGTCCCGGCCGGTAAAACCGGGATGAGGGGAGCCTGCAGAGAGCCCCCAAGCAGATCTGCCACCTCTGCCTATAGAGCCACAGAGGAGGGGCAGAGCTATGTCAGTAAGGGCTCCGCTCATAGGGGGCAGACTAGCTCCAGGGCTCACAGCTCCCACTCCAAATCCTCTCGCAGGCGCTAAAACGCCAAACTAAATTTGAGTGAAAACATTCTTAATAGTTATGGATAGGCTACATTTCGAAATATCTAATTACCGGTAGGTGTCACTTAGGATGTGCCGATATGTTGTCAGTGTGCTTATCCTCATCATTGAGCCTCATCTTTTCCAGATCCTTGTTTTGACACGTTGAACTAAATGTTTTTTGTTTCTTTTTCTTCTTCTTTTGTGTCTCTCGTCCTGTTTCCATAGCGCTGAACCGCTCCTCCCATTACTCCGAACCCCCTCTTCTCCGTAAGGAGCCATCTTCATGTTGAGTCCCCGGCTCCCTCCTCCTCCCCTGACCCGAGGCATGCTGTCCATCTCAGATATGATGCTGCTACACCCCTCCTCCACTCAACCCACCAGAATCATGGACGAAAAAAAAAAAAGAAAAAAAAAAAAGAATCTCTCATCCGACCCACTTGGTCTTCTCTGCTCGGAGTTGAGAAACCTGCATGCAGCCCGGAGGAGGATGAAGAGAAAAAAAACACAAAACAGCTTCTCATTCCTCCCTGTCAGTGACTCTTGTCTCGTCCAAGGCCGTACGGTGTGGTGACCCGTTTCCCAGTATTTATTCCAGAACAAAAAGACCTTTTGTGGTGCGCAGCCATCTCTCCCCCCCCCCCCCCCCCCACTCTGACTCCAGGCTGCGACCTGTTCTCCGCCGGCAGCACGTCTTCACTCTCTTGCCTTTAACCTGGCATCCTGGTGGGAACCTGTCCGATGTCTCCTAGCGTGGGTAAGCAGTGGGCTCCCCTCCAGCAGCTCTCCCTCCCTTTAGATCAGACGGCCTTACTAGAGTCAGTCCGTGCCCTCATTTTATACCCGCTAACCATTTCTGGTTCTTTGACGGCAGCCTGCCCGCTGCGCCTTTCAACCGGAGGGTCTGTAAATACGGCGCTTCACAGGGAAAAAGATCAGCCATAAGTTCACCACCTCAGGTCAGACCGCGAGTAGTCAGCTATTTAGAAAATCTTCAATGCCAGTGTTACTTTGCAAACTATGCAGACCAAGGCAGGACGGCGCCTGAGCCCTCCTCGCTGTGGGCTCCGGGGGGGGGGTTCCTCCCACTCACTGCTCCCATCAAACACCGGCTGTCTGCAGCAGCTTTACATAACAGAATAAGCAGCTTTTTCTTCTTTTTTTGTTTTTTGTAAGTCATTTGGGGGCGCAAATGTGAGCTTGTCGTTGATAAAGGGGGGGGGGGGGGGGTTATTCTTGGTCCTTAACGTAAATTTAGGACGTTCCCCTCACATAAGTAGAGTTTTAGTTTTCCACTCACCTAAAACGGTGAAACCGATCAACCAATGACACAACAGCCACGCTTCTGCTTCACACCCCCATTTATGTCCAAACGCTGCTTATGTGCGCCACCCAAAATAAAGAAACCAGCTTGTAGAATGATCTAGTCTAGACTGCAGCAGGCTGAACGCGCAGACAGCTGTTGTTTTAAGAGAAAAATATCAAAGTAACGCAGACTCTTTGCCACTTTAAACACCATTTATCTGCGCCACTTCTAGTAGTGTGTTAGGACTAAAGTACAGGGTTACACAAATGAATGGGATCTAAAAATATGACATCTAGACCCACGGGGAACCTCCACAGTGATGACAGTGGTGTTTTAAAGTGGTGTGAAGCCCACAACTAGGTAACCTTTTGTTCTGTACCCTAAATCTTTGTCGCTTGTATCATCTAAAATTCTAAACGAATCGACCCCAGTGATCATGGTTTTGTTCCCGTAGGTCAGATGCAAAAACTTGTTTTTTTTATTTTAATGAGTTTTCTTGGGAGAAGAAACATCCTGCTGATTTATTTTATTTTTTTCTCTCTGTGCCTTGTTTTTCAGTCATATCTCTCCCTCCCCCCCATTAAGACTCCACAAGTATGTAGAGGCAACTGCTGTAGATATGTTTTTTGTCTTTAGTTTTCGAAGGCGTTTTTTAATTGCTTGTGAGAACTCCACAAGCGGTTTTTGCACTGATTGAGGCGATATTTCATTTTGGTAAAATGTTTTCACTTTTCGGCTTGCATGCACGAGATCTGAAAGAAATCATGCTTATGATCTTACTCCTATTTATTTTAAGAAATGCTATGATGATGACAGTTACTGTAATAAAATCATGAAGTGGGACACCATAATGTGTGAGGAAAGACCTGCCAGAGGTTGATAGTTTGCACTGAAAGTGAAAATGCTTTAACATCATGTCATATTCCAATGAAGGTTTATAAATGGATTTCTTAATCTATTCGATTCACGCTGTGCAAATATGTGTATAATTTTAATTCCCATTTGTTGTATAATATTTTAACTGTATTTATGTGTCCCTCATTATGTGTAAATTAATGTAGAAATGTCACACTCTTGGCATAATGCATTTGATGGCCCTTTTTATGTGTATGCAAGTTGACCTTCACTGACTTGTCTTGAAGAATAAAAAGCCAACACTGTATTATGAACATGGCCTCGGTGGGTTTGAATTCTGTATTCACCATGTTTATCACACAGGTCTGCAATCCTGTTAGTTATGTTGGATTTTTAATTGTGGAATTAATTGTGTCTCCCGGGCCTGAACTTTCGGCAAAGACAGTTCAGGAGGAGACCATTCGGGAGAAAAATAAGTCTCCGACTACCCAATAATTTCATCAGTCTGCAGATAAACTGCTCCGGCTGTTTGTGTCAAAGTGCACGCGCCCACAAAGATACAAACTTGTCCAGAGTACAGGACGTACCCGGGCCAAGCCTTTGTCACCAAAGTCTCAATTTAGTGATCAAAGAGAGGAATAGCAACACTGGAAGTACTGAACATGTAGGCGTAAATTTCATTGAAGGCTGAGTGTTTCAGTAAAGTGCCTGCACACGCGGATATCCCCATGGCCCCGAATCCCACACATACAATAAAGCCTAACATATGAACATAATCCTCTATTGAAGTACCACTCTGTCCCACTCACGTGTTTGTGTAATAAAGAAGGTTTTTTTCTTCACCCTAAGGTTCTTTGGGGTTCGGACATACGAGGGGATGCTTACTGATGTGCCACCTAAACAACACAAAGCACAGCTAAAATGATGTAAGTGGAAGAATTCAAAGTGTGCCCTGTCTAAGCACATTTAGCATTAATAACTCTGATTATTCATTTCTGAGCTGATGAGCTCATATTTCTGTGGAGGCATGTTGCTCCTCTCCTTTAAAACCTTTCCCCTAGGTTGAGCTTTAGGACATTTGCTAATGCACACCTCACATGTGAAATAAAATCTTTATCAATTGCTTTCAGGTGAATCGGGGTTTTCTCAGTGGTCAGCACATCACACAAGCATTTAAACCGTCTTTAGCAGCTTAACAGCAACGCAAACACGGGGCAAGGTGTTACCGGACAAGTTGTAACGTTTTACACACCAGAGAACAGTCTGTAAACTCCATAACTGCCTCCTCTCTTCCTCTGTCTCTCTCTCTCTCTGGCTTTCATTAGAACCTTCAGAATCTGACTCAAAGTGTTTTATCCGATCAAATTTTTGAACCAAAGTGGACTTTTCAGATTTACACGTACACAAAAGAACATGTGGAGGAAGAATTTAGTATGGAAAAGGGTGACAGTCCCTCCCCCTTAGACCTTATTAATCTGTTGTAAATTTCCTGCGGCTTTTAAATAAAAATAAGGACAAATCAGCCTGTGAGATAACAAGAGTAGTCTTTAACAAGACAGATGGCGTGAAGCAACAAAATTGTGAGTAATTTCAGTCCAACTAAAGCGATAGAGCACGTCCTCTGATCCATTCCAAAACAAAGATTGGAAGCCTATAAGGAAAGTTCCCCCAAACTACTCCCATCCAAAGCTTCCTAAATAACTGTTGGATTATTTTCTTATGTGTAGGGTAACATTTGGGAGGCAGGAACTGACTGTTGGAGCTTGTTTCCTTAGGGACCAGCCTGCAGAACAAGTTCCAGCAGCTCCAGCCCTCCTCCATTCTAACAGAAAAAGAGGTCAAAATCTTATTGTCGGACTCTAAAGTTGGAGCAACTGAGTAGATCTAGAAGTCCAGGGCAGTTCTGCACCAGTGCACAAAATTTCAACAGAATCTTGGAAAAGTTTGCTCAAGCAAATCTGTCTTTTCTTCTCTACAAGAGCTACACATCAGCTCACGCACGGAGTGACATTTAGAGAGCAGCTCCTTGTTTTGTTTGCTGTTAAAACAGCCCTAACCGCTCATGTCCGTTGTTATTCTAGCTGGAAGTTTGTTTAAAGAGCCAGCTATAGAATTGTTTTCCCCCTGTTGAAAAAAAAAAGGTCTGTTCCTCATCTGTGCTGGAACACAGTGTGGTCACTTTGGATTCAGTTCAATCAGTAACCGGGTCACATTTCCTTTCTTCTTTTCGGCCTGCGTGGTGGGATAAGTGATGGTTGACTTATCTGTGTTTGGAAAGTTCTAACCTGGCTCTTTATTCAAAGATGAATAAGAGAGCTTCCAGTCGTCTGCAGCAGACTTAGAAGATTTTGAGAGTAAAATTCTGAAGGAGCTCCTTTGCTCAGAGCCCTGCAGACGTGCAGTGGCACACAGCAGGCTGCTCAGCACTGACTCACCAGTGGGGGGAAGGGATGGCAAATCTGGAGCTAAAGTTTAAAAAACAGGATCCGTGTGTAGGTGCCTGAAGGATTCCCTGAGCTGGATGGCAGCTTCTACTGACCCCGTGGGCTTTGTGGGAGGACAGCAGGGGGGTGACACAAGACCCCGGGCCAAGATTATTACCACAGATGTCAGGCTGTTTTCTCCTGATTTTTGGGGGGGAGGGTCTGACAGAGGAGGCTAAGAAGTGTGTTTGGATGTGACATGTCTCCAGATGAGACGATCTGAGGATGCTCTGTCAGCTTTTTTTTGGGGGGGGGGGGTGGAGACGGAGTGTCTGGTCCTGCTGGTTCTGCCCTCAGAGGATCCCCGGGGCCTGGAGAATCCGAAGAGCGGAGAAAGTCGGGGAGAAAGGAGCCTCCACGAGCTGATAGAAGTTGCCCCACCTCCCCCTGTTAAACGACCTGAGGTGATCCAGGTTGTTTGAACCTGGTGAGCTGCTAAAAGCCGCTCTGGCTTTCATGTCGGCTTTGCATTTTTGACCTTTTTTAGCACAGAAGCGGAGAATAATTTACAGCTGTTAAGTGCCCCTCACGCCGCCGTGCTAAACCTGTCATTTCCTCCCAGCGCCTCACGCTTCGTCCTGCTCCACCGGTCTGAGCACGGCTCCGTCAGGGTTTCACTGGTGAAAGTGGAAGAGAGCGGGCTATATGGAGTCATACGGTGGACACCGGGGCCGTTCTGCTCTCATTGGTTCTCCTGCAAAGAAAACTAAGCACCTCCACCCTTTGATATCTACTGAGCCATCGCTTTAAACAACTACGCCCCTTCAGCTATGTTGGAGCTGAAAATGTAAATAAAGACGACTTCATGATTTGGAAATCCTTTCCCCCATGTCTGAATGTGCGTGGTAAAAAATAATCAGGCCAATTGAACGTTTGGAACTGAGAGAGTGTGAACTTTTGAAAAAAACAAAAAACAACTACTTTCTTAACTGGATTTGCAATTCTAAGCAAATTCTCTGCTGCAGTGACCAGGCGAATTATAGTCTTTGGCAGGTATCTCTAAACTGAAAGCCAATACTCAGTTCAGTTTATCTTAATATTTGTCAGTGACCTTTGGGCTGCAGGAGAAACAGCTTTGTGGGCTCTTGAACACGTCTGAAACCCCGTCAGTAAACACAGCCTGTCTCTGGGACATGTGATCTTTACTCATATCAGTCACAGATTTGCTATAATCCATCTACTAGTGCTCTTTTCCTCTTAGTTTATGCTTCGATACTTACATCTCTTGTATTACCCATAGAACCCATACAGCTTTGTCGTTAGTTCCTGCTTTCACAATGGGAATTTCCCCACTGTTGGACCAATACATATTTATCTAATTTTATTTTAAGGTGAGTCGGGGGTCTGAGGTGAAGCTGAAAAACTGTCTTCTGATCTCATCTGTCAAAAAAAAAGGGGGGGGTGAGGTTTTGGGGGTCTGTCCAGCTGGGCAAGCCAGCATCTGTGGTGGCTTTGGGGTGTGGTTTCACATCAACGCGTGCTGTCATCAAAACAATGCCTGATTCAGGAGAGGCTCTGGCTGTTTTGGTGGGACAAAACCCAGCTATGTTCTACACATTCAAGCAGAACATCAGAGCCGACGAAAGAGTCTGTTAAAGTGGCCGGCCTGAAGCCAGGACCCGCCATTTACTGAAAACACGGGAGACCTTCGAAAACACATGAAAATAACAAACACGTCTCTGAACATTCTGAGCTGGTCTGTTCCTGTTGAGCCAGAATGAGGAAAAATAGTTTAAAAAAAAAAAGGTAGAGCAGGTTTCTTATCTCAGTTCTTGCAGACACTTATAGACTGCTGATAAATAAAGAGCTGATGAAACACGGAGATAAAGGTGCTTCCACACCACTTTGAAAAAAAGAAAATGAACATGGCAACAAATACCACAAAAATCCCTTGTTGGCAAAAGAAGCATCACATGACTTGATGCCTTAATACTGTCTTCATTTGAAACCTGTCCTTATGGTTCAAAAGATTTGATACACTGAGATGATGGATTTAATAAATACAAACTTTTCATGCAGAATTCCATACTTTTTGAACACTTAACACCTATTCTTTGTATCCCTACAACGTTCACCCCAAAGTTTCAATTTAAAGTTTCGTCACACATTAAGACCCAATATACAAAAAACTGGGTCACGCAACACAGACACAGGAGTCATGGACTTACTGACTAGATTCCACTGGATTAAATAAGAAAATTCTACTTTCTGTTTGACTCTCCATTTGGGAAAAAGCTAAATTTAGTCTTTGTGAGACAGACATTATGACCCAGGATTGCCTCATTTATTTATTTATTTTACCATCTGTTGACACGTTAAACCTTTAAGGTAAAAGGGTGCACAGCTCTTTATTTCTATGATTCTTCAAAAGTATGGCGCTAATACCAAAAATGTAACAATGACGTGGCCGGTTACTCCAACGTTTAGCTTTGCCTTATGTGTTTTACTTTTATCTTCCCACACACAGTATCACACAGAGCCATCCCCTCTGGTGTTTAGTGGGAAGGTCCGTCTCTTTTTGGAATGTGAAGTACCCATTGCATTCAGCTGGATTTGACTTTACTTAGCAGAATTTAGGACTGTGGCTATATTCTCTATAGCCATGTACCACTTCCTCTCAGTGGGGTCGTGGAGGACCCCATCCCAGCTGTCCCTGGCTGAGGGGCAGGGTGCATCCTGGGCAAGTCACCTGTCCATTGCAATATGCAGAGTTCTGAGCACCTAAAAAACCCTGCAAAGCTCATCATGTTTGCATTGTTTATTGCAGAACAGAGCAACCATAACCAGTAGCAGGCTGGAGTTAGAACAGGGTCCCCTTAGTTTGATTAGGGGCGATAACGATAACAGACTTCCATCCACACACAAATGGAAAACAAACTAACCCACTTAGAGAACACAAAGGCATTTCCTCAGGTCGTTAGGGGGGCTAACGGAAACGGTTCGAATCCCCGACTGTTTCCATGGGCGAATTTAATCACAGATAACACTGACTGCCTGGAAGGAAAAATACAGCCCCCCCCCCCCCCTTCTTTATAAAGGAGGGGGCGTGTGTGTGTGTGTGTGAGCACATGAGAGTGTGTGGGGCGTGGCCAGCCTGAACGCTGGGCTATGTTTTCGTCTCCCTGCTAGTCCCACTCAGCACTAGTGAGTGGGGAGCACGCGGTGTGTTCACTTCCCTCGCTACTGTGGGGAAAAAAACAAAAACAAACAAAACAAAAAATGTCTTTCAAGACCGTGGGCACGGCGTTAACGCGCACGCTATGGACCCGCGGAAACCGGACCCCTCCCGTGGCTCGGTCCCCGAGAGCGAACCGGCTCTCCAGCTCCTGCAGGGGGGCCGCGGGGACCGGGGAGGCTGCGAAGAGTTGCGGGCCGGACTCCGAGAGGCCGAACCGGGACGCCCCGTCCTCCGCCGAGCCCCCGCACAGAGGGGGGGCCGCGGAGAAGAAGCGACCCAAGGAGTCCGCCGGAGCCCCCGGTGTGCCCGGGGTCCGGAGGCGCTCCTTCACCTCCAACGCTGCCCCCCGGGACCAGAGGTCCTACCTGTGGACCCGATACAATGACATGAAGCGGCTGGTCCACGGTAAGCAGCTCAAGGAACCCCCCCTTTTTTTCCCTTTTTTTTTCTCCTGACACCCTTAATCTGAAACACACGTAGCTGCACACGTCATCGAGTCTTCGGCGGTGTTTTCGTTTACATCGAGGACATTTTGTACGTTTGAGGATAGCCTTCATCCTCTCTCTGAGTAGCCGGATCGCACATATGGCACGTAAACGCCTCAGCCTTCTTTCTAAACCTCTCTGGACTCAGAGAGCTGCTGAAAACCAGCTTCCACGAAGCAGCCCCGGGTTCCTTTTTGTCCTGCAGCAGTTCTGCCATAAACAACCCCCCAAAAAACACGCGTTTGCGTGTGTTTTTGTTTGTTTCCTGGTAGACCCAAGATGCGTTCGGTCTAACCGCCACCTAACTGTGCAACTATGGGTTTTTCGAGCCTCTGTCGCCACCGTTTTTAACCCAGCATGACCCCCCTCCCGCGCTAAAAAAAAGGCGCCGATGTGTTGTATTTTAACTTGCGTGGACATTTGGACATGTGGCAGTCACCAGGACTGTGCACGGCCACGTCTCTGTGTGTGTGCAGCCTCAGGGCTGTTTACTTTTAGCTGGGAGCGGGGCTTCCACACAGGCTGCAGGGGGATGTGTTAGAGCAACAATGTGATCAAGGAGGAAACTACACCAAATAAACAAAAAACAAAAAACAAATCGCCCTCAAACTGCTCCGATTCAGTAAATCACCAGAAATAAAGCACTGGCTTTTGTCCAGCACATACGGGTGCTATTGTTTCATAGCTTAAACCTACACATGGCATCAAGGGGTAGTTTCACACACATTTCTATAGGGTTAGGATACTTTTATGATAAAATTAATAAATTATTTCAATGATAGGAAAACATTTAACAATAAAAAAGGCAAATATTGCTTAACGTTATTGAAGCTCTTAGTGAAATGGAGTAAAAAAGGACATTATTCCCTTTGGAAATGAGGTTGAGTAAAAACAGACATGGATTTTTTCCCCCTGTGCAATCAACACGCATAGTGTCGACATCGATGACAAAAATATGTTTTTCCCCCCTTTACCCTCTCCTTAAGGGACTTCTATCTCAAATCCTCAACACAATGAAAGCGGGTCACGCCTTCTTCTCGTTCCTAATTGCAATTTCACCCTTTTCCTTTTGGGAGAAAAACAAGTGACTTTGCAAGAAACAGAGAGGTGTTTTTAGGCTGGAGGGAAACCTGCTGAAGTGTTGGAGGAATCCCATTGAAGCGTCGGGGGGGGGGGAAAGCTCCCGGCCTATTTTCTCATATAGATCACCAGTGACACGGCCCAGGAGCAAATCCTGAACTCCTTAATCTGTGTTCGGTGCTCTGAGAACCCCAGAATAGGGGGAGAGGTGACTTTCTTTCAGCGGGGTGTAATTAGTGAGGTCTCGGGGAACTTCGGTTGCACAGAATGTTCTCTTTGGATTGACTCAGTTTTTTAGTCAATAGTCAGTGGACATCTGAGAACCACAGGTTACGCAACCTCCGGTGAGCTTGCCAGGCCAACTGGAGTAGAGCTGCTTTTTTCCCTTTTTTTTTTTTTTTTTGCAGAGTCAGCAGACAGTGAGCTCTTGTCTCGGCCCTGCTCCGACAATCAGTGTTTTATGTTTCCCTTCTTCGGCCTTCCCTGCCTATTGTCATCTGTCTGGGATGATGAGTCACCAGTCTTAACATGTGTATCATTATTTTCCTCCCTCTGTCCCTCGTGGACCAGATTTGATCCCACCGGCCGCGTGTAAAAGCCTGAATGCCTCCGTCATCTATGCCAACAACGAAGTGGACCTGGCCGAGGTGGACATCTACGGCTTTGACTACGACTACACTCTGGCTCAGTACTCCAACGCGCTCAACACACTCATCTACAACACAGCGAGAGGCTTCCTCATCGAGCACTTCAAGGTGTGTCTCACAAAAAAATAAATCGAGCAAAGTCCGCTGGCATCAAATTTTGTTCTACATTCAGGTCGACTGACCTGCTTTTTTCCCCTCTCTGTTCTTGGCAGTACCCAGAGGGCATTGGGAAATATGATTACATTCCCAACTTTGCCGTCCGGGGTCTCCACTATGACATCCAAAAGGTAAATGAGTTTTTTTTTCTTTTTCTTCACCTTTAAAAAAAAAAGAATAAATGTATAAACTGTGTCTCTGTGTAGTTAAAAGGAAGCTTATTTTCACTGCCTCCAGGGTCTCCTGATGAAAATAGATGCCTTTCATTACATCGAGCCGGGAACAGTGTATCGGTAAGAGATATTCTGAAATGCAATGCAGAGCTAATCCCAATAGTTCTTCCAGATAAGAATAATTACATCATATGTGTTTGCTTTAATAAAAAAAAATATCTGATATTTTGTTAAGACAAAGAATCATTTCTGAACATTTTAGATAATCAGGATATAATGAAAATCATTTGTCCGGATCTTTAGATTAGGAGAATACCACCTGAACAACAATACAAGAGATATTACATCTTGTCGTTATACCATACATAACCACATTTAAGAGGTATAGGAGCCAGGAGCTGCAAATCAGCTGCATGAGAGTGTATGATCAGAAATGTCAAAGAAGGACAGACGTCCGCAATGACCTCAGAGAAGCAACTGCTGCTGTCCATCAGACTGGGGAGGGTCAGAAGGCCAGTGACTCCAAACTCTGTGCTGTTCATCATTATTCACAAGAAGAATCGAGTAAAGCTAGGAAAAGACTGAGTTACAAGGATAAAACCTCTTAACCGTTAGGCACAGTGGGGGGGGCTGTAGATCTGGGCTTGTTTTACTGCTACAGGACCTGGTCGCCGTGCGGCCATTGATTTATCAATGAACCCGCAAGTCCAGCTTGTCTGATGGCCGACTGTGGCTGAAAGTGGGTCATACACCAGGGCAATGAACCCAACACACAGCAGGAAATCTACAACAGAAAGGCTAAAAAAAGAACCGATCCAAACGCTGCAATGCTTCATTCAAAGTCCAGAGCCCAGCGTAGACCAACGGCCCCAAATCCAAATAAGTCCAGGCGAGGTTGTAGAGAAGAGAGGGCCGGGTTTCCTCTGCTCTCACAGCGTGGCACAGAAATAGAACACCTCCCAATTCTTGTTGCTAAAGGTGGAAATACAAGCTGATAGACCTTCTTTTGTTTAGTAATTGCAATAAACGGGCGATGCGTTCCTGCTTGTTTTATTTGTTTAAATGAATCGGTACACTTTCAACCTTATCTCTGATGCATTCAGGGGTCTGAGTCCGGTGTCGGATGAAGAGATCCTTCAGCTCTACGGGGGCACCTTCCACGTCCCCCTGCAGCAGGACAGCGGCTTCTATGGAAAGGTGAGCAGGGCCCAGTTTTTCCGGCACGTTTGTGGAAAAACCTTGGGAGGAAAAATTGTGTGGACAGCAAAAAGCTTGACATTTGTTACATGTTGCTTTTTAAGCCTCTTGAAATGTTTCCTCCTACTGGAAGAGGTTTGGTTTTGCTTGGCAACAGAAGCAGAAGGCGCCCTTGTTTTATTTATTTTTTACTTTTTAATCTCTATCTCATTTTAGAACCCTGAATCAAATTCAGGATGTAATCTGCCGCTGCCCTAGGATCCCTCAAATGTCAGGATTTGAAAGGCTTTACTGTTATGTAAAACTTTTTTTAATTTGAGACCTCATTTGTTCCGTTGGCGTCACGACTGGGCCGGAATGCAGTCTTCCCGTCCCGGATTGGCTGGTCTGAGAAACGCTGTGTCCAGACCGTTTTGTTTTGTTTAGATTTCTTTCTCATGATGGAGCGCAGCTTTTACCATGAGAGGCAGAAATCTGACCTGGGCCCGGCAGTCGCCAAACGCAACGGGATGTTGCCAATTAGGAGCAATTTGCGTGGAGCCGACATGATTCCTGGCCCATCGGGCTTTTGAAGCGCCTCCCTGCAGCCCGTTGCCATCTCCCATTTCTCCATGAGGCAGGCTTTTCCACAGCATGGAGGGCTTTGGCTCTAATCTAGCTGTGGGAGTTGGCTCAGCTGTCAAGGCTGCCTCATAGTTTTATGTGAATACTTTAATTTGAATTCAGCCAAAAGATGCAACTTCCTGTTTGCTCTCCACACACAGGGACCAAAGGTGAAACAGTTCATGGACATTTTCTCCATTCCCGAGATGACTCTCCTTGCCGTGGCCAACGATTTTTTCATCACCAACAACATCGATTACGATCCGGTCCACCTTTTCAAGGATGTCTCTGTAAGTGTTTCCCCTTGTTCCTGACCGGGAGCGCACACAGGCTGACCCTTTCTCGAATGCAAACTTTCTCCTTCTGAAATAAACCGCCTATAAACTCTTGTTCCTTTTTGAAACGCAGGAAGCCATCGGCATGGTTCACATCAAAGGCTACATGTACAAGTGGATCATGCAAGATCTGAGTAAGGACGATTAGTGTATATATATATATCTTTTTTAAACATCTTTTAGTTTTCCCTCACCGAGTCCTGTCCGTGGGTATTTTCCTAGACAAGTTCATCCTGAGAGGGGAGGAGACGGACGCCGTCCTGCATCGACTGGCCAGTAAAGGGAAGAAGCTCTTCCTCATCACCAACAGCCCCTTCAGCTTCGTGTGAGTGGGAGCAGACAGAGCTGCGGCCGTCCACCCCGAGCCCCGGGGTCCGGCTGTGGCGCTGAGGTTGTGCTGTGTCCGCAGGGATAAGGGGATGACCCACATGGTGGGGGCAGACTGGAGGGACTTCTTCGACGTGGTGATCGTGCAGGCCGACAAGCCTCACTTCTTCACCGACTGCATCAAGTGAGTGTCGGTCACCGAACAGGACACAAAGAACACAAAGAACAGTCCGGGCAGCGTTCTTTAACTTTCGCTGCTGTCACAGGCCTTTCAGACGCCTGGACGGCAACGGAGACCTCCGATGGGAGAAGATAAACAGTTTGGATAAAGGCCAGATTTACAAACAGGTCAGGAATACCTTACTGGCTGTTTTCTGGGCTCACTGATGCCTTTTTTTTTGTTTTTTCAAGGTTTAATTTTTTTCTCCAGCTTTATTTTTTTGTCCTGTTTTATCTGCGTGTTTGTCTGTGGGAGTCCCTTTTGGAGGCTAACTGCTGCTGTGTTTTGTGCTGCAGGGAAACTTGTTTGACTTCCTCAGACTGACGGGCTGGAGTGGATCAAAGGTTCTCTACTTCGGAGACCACCTTTATAGCGACTTGGCAGTAAGTATCGCCGCACTGCAATTTCCTCAGTCCAGCTCCAAATTATGACTAATCATTTGCAGTCCGCTGACGTTAGATCCAGCTCCCGTTCCGTTTACCTCGATTTCCTCAGTGCGCCATGCAGCAAAGGCGGACTTTCTGTGGGGAAGTTTGCTTCTCTGTCCTGCTTATTCGGACGTAAAGCTGCTGGTCACGTGTCTCACTGATTTGTTTTCGTCATGCCAAATGAGGAAACTTTCAAAGGAAATGTTGCAAATCGTATAGTAACAACATGAAAAAGGTCGTATTTGTGTCTGATAAATCAGGAAAAAAAAAACAGGCTCAGCTTTTATGCAAAATACCATAAGCCAAGGTCTTATTCTGCAGGCTTGCAATTTAAATTATTTCCATAGTTAGTTTTTTTATTTATTTGCATATAAACATAATGTTGAAAAATCCATTGCTAATGAAAATGTTCTGGATGTTATCAATCTTACGATGAGAGGAGTAACCATCCTTTCATGCTTTCTGGAGATGCTCATAACCACATGCACTCAGCTGTCAGTGGTAACTATTAGCAGCAGCAGCAGCTGCTCACATGCTTGTCATTACAAAGTTAAAGTTACAAAGAATGGAGGCTCTATGTCAGCCCAAGACTTTTAAACTGCCTTTTAGTTGGATCAAGACGTAATCAAATCCCATCTCCAGGTCCAACCTGCATATAAGGTCATGATAGGAACGGATTTGTTTTATTAAACCTTTGTACAAAATGAACCCTTTATCTGAAAAACTGGTGCCAGCGTTGGCCTTGGATTTACACCTGAGTGGCATTAAAGTTTCTTGAATCTAATATGATTTATCATTTTTAAATATGGGTTGTTGTTTTTGTTGGTATCGCTGAAACTAAAACCTCCATAGCGGGTAAAAAAGAAAAAGTTCCCGGGGGCATGATTCCTTCCGATCCTCCTTTAAGTAAAAAGGATAGTCTGGGTTCCCTTGCAAGGTGTGTGGACCGATTTGTGTTGGCTCCACGGTGACGGAATGACGCTCACTGTTTGTTGCAGGACCTGATGTTGCGTCACGGCTGGCGCACGGCGGCCATTGTCCCCGAGCTGGAGCACGAGACCAAAGTAGTGAGCACGCACCGGTACGCTGTGAACCTCACCTGGCTGCAGGCTTTAACTGGACTGATGGAGCGACTTCAGGTGAGAGATGAATTCCTCTTATCGGGAGCTATTTCTGCTGTTTGTGAAATCCAGCGTCGGATAGTTGTGATTGTGTTGACCAAACAAAGTCTTAAAAAGTCCCCTTTTTTTTCTTCCTCTTCCATTTTTTTTATGGAGTGCAGTTAGGAAAGAAAACTTCTGCTGGTATAAGAATTTTCGCAGGAGTACCACGTAATCTACAAAAGCTTGACATGTAAAAACAGTTTGAATTTTCAGACCAGATATGAAAGTTTTCCCACTTTCAGGGCGTGATTCCACTCAAAGATGTGTTTTGCATGTTTCACTCCAAAGAGCGGCCAGGCTGTTTGTGAAAGACCTAAAGGTCTGCAATGTAAGATAAGTTGGACTCTGCTCGTTCTCAGTGTTGCAGACACATGCAGAGTCATGAAATGGTTATTTGCGAGGCTCTGTTTGTGAGTGACCCCCACGACCCCACCTAATGTAGGAAATACCTTCACACACATAAGTCCTGTGTACAGACCCCTGCTGGCCTCAGGCTGGTCATGTGTAACTGTATGAGGTACAAAAAGGCAGCACAAACAACTCCCCTCAGGGCAAAGCATACATGTGGAGTGGAGTTTAAAAGAAAATCTTCCTATTAAGTCATAAAATCTCATTTGAAAGTGTCTGTGTGTAATTTTTAATGTGAATGCGTTGGTGCTTGTTAGCTGTATAATCACATCGATCCTCTTTTTGAATGTTTTAGACACACCGGGACGCAGATTCTAAAGATGTTTTTCTGGAGTGGCAGAAAGAAAGAGAAGAACTGAGGTGAGCTCCTCTATCTTAGGCTCCTCCCACTAAAGCCAGTAAACCCAGTAAACCCAGTGAACTCAACAACACAGCCTCTGCAGTGCTTCCTGTAAACCAATGCTGTAGTACTCTAGTTAAGCCTCTAAGTGGCTGAGCCTTCCCCTTGCTTTTTTGTTTTGTTTTGTCATATTCTTATTATTGTTTTGTTTTTTAAATTTGCAATGAACAAACAATCAACATGAAGGCTTAAAGACAAATACTCAAATTACCAAGGAAAAAGTAAAAGCAAAATGGGATTGGAAAACATTTCCAGTCAGGAGTTGTGAGGTACAGAGATGTGACAGAACATAAAAGTATTCTTATAATCCAGTTTTAGGTTACCTGAAGTCTATTCTTATGGTAGAGACGAATGTAATCCACTTTTGCCACATTTTGATAAATGTCTCGTTTTGTGTTCTAAGATTGAAAGTAATTCTTTCCACTACAAAGATGCTATACACTCTATCAATCCACTTATCTACACTAGGTGCCTCCCTTTTCAACCATTTCTTTATTGATTCTCCAACCCTGCTTTTTTCACGTGTCGTATGTCACACTGGACCGTAAGATTATGACCGCCTGCCTGACCTCTGACCGCTCTAGGCTGTGGACAGAAAAACTTATGGGGAGATCCTGCAGTATTTAGAGCTTGGACCTTGGCGGTTGATCCCTTTGGGTTTGAGGGTCGGGTCTTTTTTTCAGTCGCCCTGTGTGGGAGGGGGGTCGGTCAGCTGATACGTCTCTGTGGGTAAGAGGGTTAGGATGTAAAAGCGGCATCCGTGTGAATGCCAGGAGGGAGGAATTCCCTGCAAGAGGGATTCCCTGCGTGGTAATGAGATCAGGGCTGTTACCGGAAATTGTCGATGTGTTGCACAACAAATGTCCCCTTCAAATAGTTCAAATAAAAAGTGTGCCCCTTTTTCTTTTAACTTTTTTATTGGTATTGTGGCTGCGAACATGAATGCATTGAATTGAAATGTGATAACAGCCTCCACCACAAATTTGCCTCCTCCAGGGTGATGACCAAGAACTGCTTCAACCCTCAGTTCGGAAGCATCTTCAGAACCTGTCACAACCCCACCTACTTCTCCCGGCGCCTGAGCCGCTTCTCCGACATCTACATGACGTCGCTAAGCTGCCTGCTGAACTACGACCCGTCCTACACCTTCTACCCGCGCCGCACCCCCCTGCAGCACGAGGCCCCCCTGTGGATGGACCAGCTGTGCACGGGCTGCATGAAGACGCCCCATCTGGACGACATGTCCCACATCAGATGAATAAAAAAAAATGAGAGCTGTGCTCTCTCCTGACTGACTCATAGGCTTTTCTCTTTTTAGGGCTGGCAAACCGTAGCCGGAGGAAATAATTCTGTTAACAGGGTTTTTTTTTTTTTTTTTTAAATGTATGTATGCGTTAAGGTGCTGCACAACTCCCTCCTTGTGGTGCACATGATTGCTCAACACAGAGAGTTGTGAGTGAATCCACTAGGGGGTGCTGTAGATCAGACGGTGGCTGTCGTCCACAAAAAACTACAGACAACTGGTCTCTGGCTCAGCACGTGGAAGTTGTGAATAACTAAGCTGCAGTCGCACAATTAAAACAAATAAAGTACTAAAATCTTTCATAATTACGTGTTTGTTTTATTTATTGACCACCTTGTTCTGACCCTTTTTTTAAAATATAAAGATAAAGTTAAGCAAGTTATCCCAATGAGTTCAAAGGAAATAACACTGCCTGAAACTGACGGAAAATTATTAAAAATTGATGCATTAGTTTGACTGGTTCTAATGAAAACATCACACACATACACACAGATATTTACCTTCAGACATCTACAGGCTGATTTTTCTAAAACCCAGACAAAAGTGTCTTTTAACCAATTGGCTAAGATAGTGGGGAAAACAATTCTGAGTTAAAATTAATCTGAGGCATTAACATGCAAACATTTAGTTGAATTTGTTCTTATCAAGATTTCTGATTTGATCACATAACCTGAAGCTTGGGATCTATTATAATGCCTAATTTCACTTTGAAAATAAATTTAATCAAAATGTGTCTATATTTTCTTGAATTTGATGACTATTGATGCACTTTTGTTGACGTTTTCCCTTTGGTTTATCCCGGGTGTCCTGTTTTTGAGCCCTGCATGTGTTTTGACCTACACACATCTACTTTTTTCACTCCCTGAGCGTTGTTGGCAGCTGGATGCATCCAATGATTGAGTTTTTCAGTGTGAACACCTTGCTGCATCATAGATCTCTCGAATATTTGTTTTTGTTTGACTTTGAACAGGGAAAATTAGGGTGGGAAGCTTTGGAGAACTGTAACAGTATCCCACAACTGTTTAGAGTTGTGCAACATGAAAAAACATTTCATGTTGCAAGTATGGGAAAGGGAAAGCCGAACTTTCCGTGATGACTGGATTCCAGATGTTACTCTTCCTACTTTTACAACAGTGTTACAAAATGGCCCAAAAAATGTGCTGACTATTTTTAGATAGACATTTAGTTCTGGAATGAGATCCAATATAGATATGTGCAGGTTTTAAATGCTGCAATGTTCACTCACACCTCATGTGATCTCTGCATTTGGGTTTCTTTGAGGCTTGCTAGTGTTTAAGTTTATTTTCTGTGTCTACGGCCTGCATCTGAACCGCAGAAATCTCCAGAGGCGGCATTTGTTTCTTGTGTCAGCTGACCCCTTCTACGTGAAGCATTTAAAATGATACAATAAAGCAAAAAGTCCCACATCACAGGGTGTCACATGAGTGGAAACTAGTGCACTGTACAAGGGCTGTTGTTCACACGTGCTGCGATTCGCTGCACGTACAGAGCTTATTCCCCTAAAAAGGAAATCTGTCCAACCCTGTCCATTTAGACCCTCATCTCTCAGTGCCTCAATCATGCAATCTTCAAGCAGCTGCTTCTATATTTTTCGCGTCTTCAGCCCAGCCCTTTTTCTCATCTTTCTGCTGCTTCACGTGTCCAGATGCTCTTTTCTGTGTGCTCCCAGTACGCAGCAGTCTTTTCTATTATCAAATGTAACAGGACCTTTGCTTTCGAGGCCAAGGATCCCAGTGTGGGAGGACTGGCCCAGTTGGGCGTGATGTTCCACCCATCTGCCTTGTAAAACTGAAACAACACAGAGGCAGAAACCCGGCCGAGCAAACACAGACCTGCACGGTTTACTTAACTCCTATCATTCTTCAAAAGCAATAAAATAGCACAACATGTTTCTCAACTCACGGGGTTTGCATTTCTTCCATCAACTAAAGAAAAAACAGATGGAAGGGCAGCCTGCTGAATCTCAGTTACAGATAAAGTAGATCACAGTCTGGCAAGACTAGCAGGGACTTGGGGAATGAAGCCAGCAACCTGTTTGGGCACAACCAGAATCACGATATTGAATATCTTAAACCCCCCTGGAAGGTACAGGAAAGTCAGCTGTAAATTAATTGGATTAAATCAACAGCTGCATAAATGGTTTCAGTATCTTTTTTCTTTCAATAGTTGTTGTCATTACAGGAGGAACCGATTTGAGATGCGGTTTTGCATTTGTGTGCAAATTCATAGTGAAACTCTTTCATTGTGAGTAGAGATGATTTTTCTGTACATTTTTACAATAACTGCAAAAGCACAAATAAGTTAGAATGCATCTGTTAAACCGATTCTTTAGTTGGAAACCTGAGAATATACCAGAGAACACCAAAAGTACAAAAATAACATTTATTAGACATTGTTGAGTATATCAGCTGGGCTCTTCACGGACAAAAACCTCTCTCTGGGTCTCAGTCGGCAAAGAGCTGCCAACTCCGTGTGTGATGGGTCTTTGTGTCCTGGACTGGGAACACCCCTCAAAAGGAGGACTGGACACAACCAAGTCCTATTGGCTAGTTACTTCTAAGACTAACAAGCCTGGTCCTAATTCATGTTGATGGCATTGGAATGTGGTACCAAATGGTGTGTGTTTGTTGACCTAAAGACGTGGATCTAATGCAACAGAGAAAGAAAAGGAGAGAAAAGAGAATCTGTGGTTACAGCCAGAGCCTTCAACACAAAATATAGTTATAAAAGACAATAAGACAATCAGTAATCTCCATAGATCATCTGATAGCATACAATGCTAAAGTGAATATTTATATACAAATCCTATCACATCCACTATGAGTTTTCTGTCAAAATAGCTTGTCTTTCTGGTTTTCTGCTGCTTTATCTAACTACTTTTCTGCCTTTTCTGTGCAGAGAACCTGCAATAATTTAACCACAGAGACATTTCTGTTTGTCCAAGTTCCTTTTTTAAAATAACTTCTTAGTTTAAGGACAATTTTTTTTATTTGGCTGATCTGAACTCTTAATCTGGTTCTATATTCGCAGATACTATTTTTGTCTCCCTATTCTTGGGATGTCAAACGAATTGTGCTGCCTCATCTTTTAAAGCCTTTCCTTTTTCGACACGAGCATCCCTCGGAAGTATTTTTGTTTTGTTTATTTATTTTCCTATCAATTCCCGACTCTTTCTTATGTTGTTTGTCTTTTCCCGTGGATATCCTGTCAGGCTCTGGCAGATTGCACATAGATTATTTATGCGCTGGTTTGTGTGAGGTTACGGGATGCTCGGGACTGCGACAGGCTTTCCTCATCATCCATTTAGGATGCCCCATTTTCAGAGTCTAACACACAGGCCTGTGAAGATGGAGTCTTTCCCCCTGCAGTTTGTCTTATACTAAAGCCGTTGAATACCTTAGTTGAAACTCTTGTCAAATTGCAGCTGTTTTTTATGACGGTGTGCAACCCTGGTAGAGCAGGAACAGAAAACCAGATGTTTTAGTGTGTGAGAGACAAATGTCTGCCTTTCTGTTCCTCGTGTCGTGTCATAACTTTTGCTACTAGTCATCTTTTATGTGGCTCTTCTGGCATTCTAACACAGGCCACAACTAAGCAAAGGTTATTTTAAGCCTCAAGTTTGTTTTTTCCGTTCGATATTGGATGCATCTTTTTCCTCCCTGCTGAATTATTCATCCACGGACCGCATTTCTGAACACTCCAGTCAGAGGAGGACGCCTGCAAACAGCTTGTTAGGGGGGGGGGAAAGTGCGCTGTTTCTTTGATGTTCTTTGTATGGGTCATGCCTCATTCCTTCCTCTGTATTTGTGTTAGGTTTCTGTGTTTGCTGATAATTCGCAGCACAAATTAGCTTTTGGCTTCTTCCTGCTCAGCTCTTTCTTTACCTGCAGGCATGATAAGTGTGTCCAGTTTGAATTGGTGCCATTTTTAACATCCACACTCTTTTGATGTTTGCTTCACCGGTGTCATTCAGGCTTTCGCTTACATATCTGAGAAGAGTCTTCCTATTATTCTCGTCCTGCTCAAAAATACCCTTTTGAATTGGAGCCCTGTAGGTAGGTCCACATGTCTGGAATACAACTTAGACCGATGCACTAAAAACAGTCTGTGTTCTGTATTCAGTACAGTTCTGTATTAATTTATCAATAATGTCCACTTTCCAAAGGATGCAGCCTATTGTAAAAGTAATCTAACAACTGCTGCAGTGCTGACATGATATCTCACTATTGATTCATTCTCCCCGATGCCCCTGTCAAGTTTTTTTTTCTTTTCTTTTCTGTGCATCTCAAAGGTCACGGCGCCACATAAGCATAACACTCACAACTGGAAATCACAGTTTCAGCTGCAGGCCACTTTTCACAAAAGTCTTTCCACTTGTTCTTCACAAGGCAACATTCTATCAAATACACCACGACGCTGTTATCCTCTGTGTGTACTCTGCCATATTACTGAATGTAGTTCTTACATCACTTTAGCATGCATCTACAAATGAGGCCCCTTCTCTTGTGAATGAATATCTGTGAGACAAATGGAAAGGGTTGTCTGTATTTGACACTCTGTGCTGGTCTGTGGTATTACTCATTCTGTCATGCACGGCAGGGGAAGAAACAACGCTGCACAGCAGCCTGCTTTCATCTGCTTTGCCTGGCTCGGTGTCACTCAAAGGTTGTTTTATTACAGAGCACTCAGCAAATAACCTGACTCATCAGAACCCCCCCACCCCACCTCTGCCCTCTGTGACACGGCTGTGTGCTGTTTTCTGGGTGATACTTGCCTCTATTTTTGGGGAAATCTCAGCTGTCCTATTGCGGAGGCTCTGCCCCCACAACCACACGGTTCCATTAGCCTTTTTTTTTTACATGTCTGAGCACTTTACCAGATCACAAAACTAAATATATGTTTTGCTTTTAGCACGAGTTGCTTAATACACAAAAAAAATCTTGACTCTTTAAGCCTTTATAATGATCCTGTTAAGCAGTGCAGGAGAAAAGTTATTTTCAGTTGTTTAAATAGGCATGCTCATTGACATTATTGATTCCACTCTACCAGCCTCCCTGACACTGTATCCATCCTTATATGTTCTGATCTCAGGCCTCCTCCACGGCTTGTGTGAGGATCATTATAACTGGGAACTAGGAAGCTTTGGAAGGCTAAATGTGGAACACCGCATAGAGTGGATGTTTGATGACAAGAATTAATGTATTGTGTCTGGTCCATTTGGTGCGCCACTGTGATGATAATCTAAGATTCGCATAAAATATGAGATGCATTCTGTAGTG